AACTGTCAGGGCAGAGTGTAATGTATCGTTGCCACCCAGAACACAGACTGTACTTCCTGTTCAGTGTAGTAATATTAAGGCTCAGTAGGGCATTATTGAACCTGTTCCAACCTTGTATGACGACGAACAGTTAGTAGGCGCTAAGTGTGTTCTGTTCATGGTAAATCTGTACATCAGCTCATGAATCCCTCTGACAGGTGCTTTTCTCTGATGATATGTACATTGACAGTTTTGAGGCCGACGGAAAAGATACCACTACGGTTAAGACTAAACGAATAGATTTGACACACAAAAACACTGTAACCGTAACCGAAACTGTTGAGCACCCTGACATTGTAGAGGAACTTGCTATCACTATGGAAGATTCTGATTTAACAACAGATCAAACCTAGCAACAACTTATCTCATTTTTGGCTCAGAATAAGGAGGTTTTCGCGAAAGATGCAACTGATTTGGGTACCACTAACCATTCATCACCACAGAATAGACACGGGCGACGCAAAACCAATCCGCCAACGTTTCTATCGCACTTCCTCGTTCATAAGGCAGAAATTGACAAGCAAATCCAAGATATGCTCAACGCTGACATAATTGAACCATCAACCTCACCCTGGGCTAGCCCGGTTGTTCTTGTGAAAAGGAAGAATGGCGAATTCCGCTTTGCTATAGATTACCGTCGCATCAATCGAGTCACAAAACCCATGTCTTTCCCTCTACCTCGACATGATGTATATGATACCATAGGTAAATCCCATGCTACGATATTCACTGTACTCGATCTTGCACGCCGTCAGGATTTTGGCAAATACCTCTGGATAAAGATAGCCGCGCGAAAACGGCTTTTACATCCCATAGTGGCAATTACCAGTTCAAGAAAGTTCCATTTGGTCTCATGAATGAACCAGTTTCCTTCCAAATGGTTATGACCCAAGTGTTGCGTGGGCTAACTTGGAAATTTGCGCTCGTGTATTGTTGTACTGTTCAAAACGTCACGTTGGCTTGCCGCCCAAAATGTGCCCTGGCTAGGGCCTTTTATCTACAAACTTTGCAGGTGTAGAGATAACAGGCTTATGTTTATCCCCAGTCCACGCGAATCGGCTGAAGCAATGATCCTCAGGACAGACCGGTTCACATTCCTGATAGTTTAGACAGCCACACTGAGGGCACCAATTTGAGGGCAATGACACTGTAAGTGACCCTGCTCAGGACTCGCCTAATTCTGAACCCACTCAGTCTGACAACGCACACATGCCACAAGTCCCACCTGTTGCCTTGGGCAGTCCCAAACAACCCTCTGGCAATAAACCACCTGACGCTAATGACCAAGGTCGTAGTGATTGGTTTATCGTTCATAGTCTCTGACAATCTGCTATTATCGATGGCAAGCGTCATTATCAAGTGAAGTGGAAAAAGTGGAAAAAACAACTGGGGAACCCGAAGAAAATATTCCTGATGAATTGATCCGAGACTTCCACATACGAAAAACAAAGCGGTCTAAGGCATATAATCGCAGAAGATAATTGTATTCGGGCCTACACACTTCGTAGCTTGTCGATGACATAATATGAACTTTCACCGTAGAAATGTAATGTACCCTCTAATCTTTAATCGCTATTTGCTCATTTTTCTTAAGGTATTTGTCAGTTTGTTACCTTCTTTGCTTCGTACCATATGCCGGCTATGGACAGGATTGCAGTACACTCATTCTCATGTATTTCTGTGGCTTCATGAAGTTATTCCTCGACTTTTTGTTAACGTACTATTATTAATAATTTGTTTTTCTTAAGGTCACCAGTACGTTTTATCATTGCTTTCCTCTTTTCCCTTATTTTCTTACTGTTCATTTTTAAGTCGGGAGACTTAAGCTTCGAGGGGAGGGTACATATCAGCATCATTACAATAACACATTTTGTATTGCTACTTAAGTTGCACGGATTAATCTGACCTTCAAGAGTATAACCGCTTTCCAAGTAATGAGACTCATTTAAGGAATGGCTAGTTTAACTATAAGACCCTTGGGGAGGAAAGCAGGGCTGGACCAGAAGGGCCATTGAGGCAGTCCATCGTCCTGGTAAGGAAAAGTCGGTATTCATTAATTTGACTAGCCCTACCCTCAAATCCAAATGAACCAAGGGGCCACTCAAAATTTTGAATGCTTTTAAATTTCGACTTTTTTTCCAAATTTTCTTGAAATTTAAAAAACACTGAAAATTTTGAGTGGCCCCCAAACACATTCATTCACGCTGTATTAATATTCAAAGGACTAGTAGCCAATACCTAATAAGGCAAGGAAAATTGTATGATGGATGAAAAATGGAATGTCCAGTAAATGTACAAAATCCATATGAGATCTGACAATCAGGCAGAGAGCCGCACCTCGAGCCAGCTGAATAAACCACATCAACTACTATACAACTTGGTATGGTGTACTATTTACGACGCACATTTCTCTCTCGCGACGGCACGACGGCTCCCTTGCGTCGTGCTGTCGGGTCGCAACGTCGCCTTCTTGCCATTACTTTTGTACACACACGACGCGACGCCGTTGCCCGTCGCGTCGTGCTGTCTTAGGTCCTTTCCTTGTTGCATTTTTTTCTGCCTAAACGTCGTTGCCTAAAAGGTTGAGGGTTGCCACTTGAAAAAAAAAGGCTGCAATCAGACTTCGGAAAATCACTTTTCGGGGGTGATTTTGTTTTGTGGGAATAATTAAAAATGTAATTGGTAAGCCCACAATAAATTGAAAAGAAGTCGAAAGATTAGGGACCAGACAATAATTTTATTTGTGTTTCAGCAATCTCAAGGATGTTGGTAAGCATGTTATTGGGCCCTGAACATTGCCGATTTTACACTGTTTTCAATGGGGCTTGAATTAGTGGACTGTTCCCTAGTATTCAAGTACCGGGGGCGGAAATGAAAGAAAACAGTAAAGGCGCCCTCTATAAACACCAAGAAACAAAGGGCGACAGCACACGACGCGTCGCGTCGTGCGTCGTGTCGTGCGTCGCGTCGTGCTTCAGGCGACGTAATAGGCGACGCGATGCACGACACGACGTACGACGCGACGCACGACGGTACGACGCGACGGGCGACGGAGGGGCGACGTTTAGGCGGGAAAAAATGCAACATGGAAAATACCTGAGACAGCACGACGCGACGGGCGACGGCACGACGCGACGCACGATGCGACGCGTCGTGTGTGTACAAACGTAATGGCAAGAAGGCGACCGTGCGACCCGACGGCACGACGCAAGGGAGCCGTCGTGCCGTCGCTTCGTGTCGTTGCGTCGCCTTGAGGGAGGCTAAAGAGAGAGAGAAATGTTTGTCGTAAATAGTACACCATAACTTGGTCCCAAGACATCTTCTTGTGTCGATCCGCATAACCTGTCGGGTTATAGTACTATGCGCACAAGTCTTTCTCGACTTTATGGTGTACTACTATACGACACACATTTCTGCCTCTCTCCAGCCGCTTCGAAGGCGACGCAACGTTGTGCGTCGCATCGTGCCGTCGTGTCGTGCTGTATTACGTCCTATTTCCTTAATGCATTTTTTCTGCCTAAACTTCGCTCATTCCATCACCCGTCGCGTCACACCGTCGTATCATGCGTCGCGTATCCGGTCCGTAAGTGACTTCGTCACAAAGGCGGACGCGCAACGATTTGCAGGCTTTCATTGGACAATCGCTGAAGTTGCACGTTAACTTCCGGTTCCATGGTTCCAGTAAACAACGATCAGTACATGTAACTCTGTGCAGTGCATGTGCAGTGGGCGTGGTTTAAACTGAGGTGACGTCACACTTACTAACCGGATTACGGCCCCTGACGCACGAAGCGACGCGCGACACGACGCAAGACGCGACGCGTCGTGTGCTGTCGCCCTTTGCTTCGTGGTGTTTATAGAGGGCGCCTCTATACAGTTTTCTTTCCTTTCCGTCCCCCCTTTATGGGTCGACAAAAATTGGCCACGTTTTGGGGCACCATTGAAGGGTTCCGCTTTAATAGAGAAGAAATACATGTCAAATCTTAAAATAAACATCAAATCGTATATTAAGTTGAACGAGGCGACCCTGAGAAACGTTCACCGAAGCTGGGTTTACCACGAGGTCAGCCACAAGGCACAAACAACAGTAAATTCAAGGGCCCTCCAGTCAGTAATATCAACACATTGGACGACAAAAACGTCTGATCCTTGGAACGCCATATAATAGAGACGACATGGGGTGTCTATGAAGCCTTCACTGGGAAAACAAGTGTTAAATTAATGTTTTACACGCCTTCCACTTCATGAAAATGTAATGGTGTTAATAATCCAACGCTAAACAATTTGTGGTGTTTCTTTTTTAAGCAGATACGCGGTGATATGTGAGTACGTTTAGACACAATGACACATGGAAGTTAATAACAAGACACAAAAACACATTTATCAGGTGGTAACACCAAAACACGTTTATTTCCTAAAAGGTGTTTCATTTTAAACGGTTACGTGCTTACAATCAACGCAAGGGCACGGTTATAATGGGCGTTGGTTTTTACAGTGTTGTTCAATTTAGTTTCTCAATTTTTGGACACAAATTTGTGTATTTAAAGTCTGCGTACTGAGTTAAGTGAATGCAAGCTACTTTCATGCCAGGCGAAGTCAACAGAGAGATATGGCTTCAGGAAATTAAGTTCGATATCAGACGTCAATGTAGTTCCTTTGATAAGGCGATTCATTCGCAACATACTTACGATTGGCCTATTCTCTTTTCATTTTGTATTTGAGTATGCTGTGGGCCGTCCAAAACATATCACAAAAACAGAAAATAAAATGCTCACGTTTTATTAAAGGCCACCCGTTTACAAATCATTACTTATTACCATTTTCGTTAGGCCAAATTAATGCGTTTTGAATAAAATTCCACAGTTTATTTAAATTTTCGAATTCCATGCCTGTTGGTGCTTCCTTTAAAATGTCGGGTATTCAGCCCCACGCGTCGTTTCAAGTCATTGGTTAACCTTTGAGAAAGTCGTTATCACACTGTAGGCTGCTTCAACCTTCCCTCCCTTCAGCTAATGAAAACCAGGAAACCTATCAAAAATGGCTGTTCGATTCATCGGCCTCGTCCTGTTGTCTGTGCTGGATTTCGTTGTTGCTCTAGAGCGGGGAGAGTACCTTGACATGTCCTACGGCTACGATGAAAACTCTCTCGCCTATCCTGGGGCTGGATTCTTCCAGCTAACCATTGAAGAGCGCGGGCCTGCCTTGGGTTTACCATGGTGAGGGTTTACAGTGCTAATGAGAATGTTGTGAGACAGAGAGTGGATGGGGGAACTCGTATATATGTGTAGTTTTGTCTGAGAAGGGAAGAGGCGGCTATAAGTGGATTGTCGCCAATTTGAAGGTGTTTTACATTTTGCAAATTCACACCCTTGAAATGGTTTCATCTTGTTCTTTTGCAATGTCTTAGGTTGGAGTATAACTCGATGTGTTTACCAGAACACATCGGCACCCACGTCGACGCCCCGTCTCACTTTGGTCAAGGCAAGATGCGGATCGACGACATACCACTCAGTCGGTTGATATGCTCGGCCGTCCGAGTCGACATCTCCGAAAAAGCGAAAGCTGACAGAGATTATGGAATGACGGTTAAGGATCTACAAGACTGGGAAGTCATCCACGGCAAGATTCCGGACGGCTCTCTTCTCTTCGTCTACACCGGTTGGGGAGCTTTCTACCCTGATCGGCTGGCCTACTTGGGTACGAAGCGCAACGACACCCATCTGGACGACCAAGGCATGTCACTGGTCCATTGTCCAGGTGTTGGACCCGAAGCCGCCGAATGGTTGGTAGCTAATCGGAAGATTGTGGGTCTCGGAACTGATTCAGCAAATATCGACCGTGGGCTAAACGTCAGTTTCCCTACCCATCGCATCTTAATGGAAGCCAACATCTACGGCATCGAGAACGTGGCTAACTTGGATCAACTTCCAGACACGGGAGCTAAGGTGTTCGTACTCCCGATGAAAATTGTAGATGGGAGTGGTGCACCAGCACGTATCGTGGCCATGTTGAACGAGGATAGTACCTCTGGGGCAGCGACGCTCTCCACTGCATTTGTCACCTGTGTCTCTCTGCTTACTATTAATCTTCTTGTGTAAATAACTACTCACTGATTTCTTTAACTTCTGCCTTCGATTACAGTTTTGTGATAGTGTTATAAGATTTATTCAGCCAATGATCCTTTAATCGAAGTCATTACTCACGCCTTATCCTGGAAATGTATTTCAAACAATGGCAATTATGAAATTGTCGATAAAGCTTGGAAATCGAAAAACACCCTTGCACATTTCAAAATCATATTCTTGAGTTTTACTGACTCATTCGCAGTTACACACGATGTAATATGTAACTTACCACTGAGTGGTCATGCCTTACCCAGTACACTCATCACGACAGCTCTGTTAAAATGTGAGCATTAGTTGATACTGTAAATCATAAACAACTTGTTTTTGATTGAAAAACCCGTTGGTCATATGCGCCTGGTGCACTCTTTTTTTATGCAAAGACTGGAAATTTCGTCTTAAGTTTTTGTTATTAGTTTGTGGAACACTGGCTTCGAGGAATGGACTGTTGAGCGTTTCAAGTTTGGAATATTAACGCCTTTTGATGTTTAATGAGGACAAACATTGTTCTTCTGTAGTTAGTTTGTTAAAAATGATATTAACCTCTAATGCGTCAGTTTTATGTTTTTCTCTCATGCATGCACTTGACTTTCATACATTTCATACATAGGCATAAACATACATGTATTATATATTGACATTTGTTCAGTCGACACACTGAACACGTGCGTGAATTTCACACAGAAACGAATTTTGAAATTAACAATGACAGTAGAATGTTTATAACACTATGATACGGTCTCGAAACACCAACGCTATAACGCAAAATAATATGCAGTTACGTTATTGACTTCTAAAAGACCGAACTATATTAGAGGCGTGGCTTGAAAAAGGGGTCATTAATGGAATAAGACGTTCACTGACAAATCTTTCAGATTTAATGCAAGAGAGCCATATTGTTAATGTATTTAACCTTTAACTTAAATACCATAAACTGTCAAAAGACCACACCATCATAGGACTAAGAATAGGTTCTCGGGGTATGAGTTAGTGGAGTTTTGTCGGGGCAGGGCAACTATTTGTTCAAAATTAAACGTCGACAGTAGAGCTTAGTCTGAAATTAGACCAACCTTGAGTGGTCAGTTCCTCCGAGAGAATAAAATTGTCGGAATTGATACCGGCATACCCTTATCGACTGACAAAGTGTGCATTCCTGGAGAAAACAGTTGTTTCTAGCTGTTGTCGCATTCTCGACCAGTGGAATGGTCATTGGAATTTTCTGTGAGATAAAAGCAGGGAAATTTCATCCTTCATCGGGTTCTGACCTTTAGACTCCTGGGGCGTGGACAAGGCACACTGATCACTGGCGGTACTGAGCCTTCCGACTGTCAGGCTTCATGAGTGCCTGCTGACCGGGTGTCTCGTCCCGTTCTAGCTGAGCCACGCTGTACCTGGTGCTGTCTTGCTATGCCTGGTTTTAAGCGTCGTTGACTCGCTGTCTGTTGGGACTCCAAAGGAGCTACATATAGCGCCGACTCCACCAGCGCCACTCCCTTTGGCCGCACCTTGTCGACTGGTTCGCTAGCCTGTTCCCGTCTGTTTGTCCACGTGTCATCCAGCCATTCCCAAGTGTCGGAGATCGGAGGTCGCCACTCAAAATCATTCAAACTCTCGTAGATTCCACCCACGGAGGTACCTTCCCTTTCACAATGGCCAACTTACATGATTTAGCCTGCCTAATTTAAAAAGTATAAAAAATTTTTCCTTCTATATGGTTCATTTAGTTTGATGCGCGGTAGTGCTCTGTTGGTGTTGTTTATTAAAATAAATCAAATTTCTTTCTACTAAAACTCCTTAATTCCGATTTTCCGTTATATTGTGTTCTGAGATTTGAAGTGCCTTCATAGAAGTACTTATTACTGCAAACATCGTCTGTAAAGTTAAGTGCCTTTTCCCATTTTAAAGCAAGTGTAGCTTGATCATGAGTCGAGCACTTTGATGCCAGATTTGCCCTACGCTGTGTGCGTGCATATTATTTGGCATGCCGTTTTTTTATATTTCCAATCCCTCGAATTTTTCGACAGTATCTAAACATGGACATAAATCCTGGGGGTATAGGAGTATATGCCCCCACACTTTTTGGGGGGAGGGGGGTGGAATATTGCATCACAGGCCCCTCCCCCCCAAAAAAACACACACACATTATTTTGTGATGAGCAAAAATTAAAGTGGATATCTAAAGACTTTTTGGACTTCCAAACGGCTAAAGTGCATTCACTATCACACAAAAAAGGGGAAATAATTTTTCAGAAGCCATTCTGATGTACGATTCTGCATTTATGTAATACATATGGCAAATGTACATCAATATCATGAACATCGACTTCTACATAGAGTCATATGGTGTCATCCTCCATCCTGCTTTTCATGATCGGGCAAGTCATCCTCCCACATCTCCTGTCCCCTATCTCCCCAAATTCCAGCACAAATTTATCTCAGTACTTTTGAGACTGAATTAAAAACTGTTTGAAGTGCTGCACGAAGTTTGTGTTACTTAATCTGGGCTGAACGAATTTTAGATTGGAGTCCGTCCTTTTTTTCCCTTTCTCCCACAAATAAATACAGCTAAAGGCAGTTGATTTGCTGATGGTCGTTCGGAAAAATTAACAAGTTACAACCCTTTGTTCATCTTGTTTTGTAATGATTGGTCTGATAACCCGATGAATGTTACTGAATCCTGTCATTTTTTAGATCAGCATAAATTATATGAGTCATCAATTCTAAAATACGAAACTTCAGCTCCAAAGGTAAATCCTAAAGCTAGTTCTGGGCGGTTCAGTCCAGTTTAAGACGGCCTACGACCTCAGGGTCGATAGAGCGATTCAATGCCATCCCCGGCTGGTATCAATTTCGAAATTCTGAAGTCATCAGAAATCAGTTGTGAGCAACTATTGTGCGATGAGAATGAATGGTACAAAGGGCATTCCGCCTTCCATCTGTCAAACGGGGTCGACAACAAAAACAAGTCGATACAGGACATAAAGGGAAAATGTAACACCACTGTCAGTCACATCGTATCTTTGCTACGTATCAGGCACACGTCTGGATTTCTTTAGCGGTACAGCACCAGACAGCTGGTAAGCGCTATCACATAATGTGTTCTGCTAAATAATTCATTAATGGATATCTCCCTGCTTAAAAAGAGTACTAAATTCTGAACTCTGCTTAGCTATCCAAAACTGGTTTTAGATATTGACCACACACAAAACTGAACTATTTTTTCCAAGAAAAAAAGATTTCATCTTCTCGTTGGTCATTTTGTCTGATGATCATAATTCAGTTTACAGAAAAGAAGCAATTTAATTTGAATTTGTTTAGATTACACTGCTAAAAGCAGCGAATACAGCTTTATCATGAAACACTGGACCTCTCAAATCACCGTACGATCTGGCGTATTTTTGTGAAACCGACTTTGGGTTGGATCAGGTGGGACAGGGATAGGTGTTTCCACCACCTGAGTTGGGTCAGGTCGTTTCGGTTCTGTGTTTGTGATTTTCGGGTCGGGTCGGTTGGGTTAATTTATCCTTGTCAAAACCAGAAATTAACCTAAATGAACCAAACAAATTATGAAATAGTTCGGACATTCACATGCTGCATTATTACTGTAGAGTCACTGTGTGTGAGATGCATGATTAATTTGTAATCTCCAACAGGGACTGTAAAAGAGATATATCTCAAAAATTTTGAGTTGCCGCAATGATCCCCCCCTCCAAAAAATGCACCTAAACGGGAACATGTTTAGGCTAAGAAAGTCGAATACTATGGGACTATTTGTCTGAGCCAAATTGTACACGAGACGAGTTCACTTCGGTACTCTTTATCGGATCGGTTTTACCTTAGTATGTTTGCCGACTCTGGTCTGATTCGGGGAGCCCAGCCGGATCGGTTTCGGATCCGTTTTGGCCTCTTCAACCCGACCACATTCATAACCGTTACATTAGCCCTGCGTATGGGACCGAAATCTATGGTGTTCTATAGCCGCCAAACTTGCGATGCGTCTTCCCTTCGCCACGACGCGACACTACGACAGCCCTGTCGCGTCGTGCCGTCGCGTCGTTGCGTCGTTTCCTGCTGTCTTGCTGTCGCGTCGTATCGTCGCGTCGTACCGTCCTGTCTTACCGTCGTAGCGTTGCGTCGTGCCGTCGCGTCGCCTTTCATTTTAGGCCCTATACAGTGTGGGTTAGGCCGTCATGTCCTCACGTCGAGCTGTCGCGTCCTGATGCCGTCGCATCGTGTTGTTGCACCGTCTTGTGGTGCTGTCGTGTCATGTCGTCGTTCGTCCTATTGTGCGGTCGTGCCTTACTATCTCTAAAAATGGCTGGTGATTACTAAGGCCAACAGAGAGAGGATATATGTCACAAGTCCTGGAAAAATAATGTGCATGCATAGGGTTGCACTACACCAAATACGCGCCCATAGAAAACAGTGCAAAAGCAGACCGAATGACCGCCGTCTGTTGACTCTCGGAAAGACGTTGGCCTCCGTTTTTTTTACTGGAAATTCAAAATTATGGCCAGAAGATCACTTTTCATTTCATTTTTATGGGGGTTAGCTACGTGAAACTTTTTGTTCGCCTTTCCCCGAAAATACCCCCCAAAATAGTAGTAAAACTATGTGCTCAGCTCTGAATGTAGCCGCCCGCCTCTATTCAAAACAGGCCCACAATTTGGGGCTTTTTGTAAAAGAAATATCCCGAACTGGAAACTATCAGCCACACATTCAGGATTTATAGAAATATTTATATGATTCCTCCTGATTATGGCATGTCTTAATGTAAAAGCCCCATGGGATTACAAAGTAATGAGCTCGCGCGCAGAAATCCAACCATTTAGTGAAATGCACCCTTAGGGCCTACAAAATTTGATCATGAAAAATGGTATCTATAGGTATTGAACTTAACTCCGTCTCCATGGGCGCCCCTATTTCCACCAGTAATAAGGCGACGGCGAGAGCATAATGCGACGGCACAACGCCAAGGGGCGATGGCACGACGCGACGTCATGACGGCACAATACGATGGCACGACGCGACGTCATGACGGCACGATACGATGGCACGACGCGGCGCAAGGTTGTCCGCCACAGAACACCATAGAAATCCGCTATAAACAGACCATAGAAATCAGTGCTACGACTTTGTCGAACATCAACCGTTCGAAGATGTAATCTAATCCATCGCTGAAGGAAGGTTACCAAGCCCAATTCCCAAACCTCGGCTGCGTCTCATTGGGCTTCATTTTGGGCTAAACAGGCCGAGTCATTTTTTAAACAAGTTAGGCCTATGCACTGATAAAACACAAATTCCCAAAACTGTGGCCCCGTACGCTAGACCGTTCGCTGGTATTGTGGCCAAAAATGGATTTGCACTGAGTCTGACGGTCTCGTCTTTGGGGCACCAAATCTTTGAAATTGAAATCTGGAGGCGAACAGGCAACTGCAGAGTTTTAGAAGGAGAAAAGAAAAGAAGAAACATGGGCCTGAGCTTATAGAGCGTTATCCTTGGAGTGACCCGAGTTTAATCATCTAGACCTACACCGTCACATTCATGGCCTTTGGCTTCCACGACAATAAACTTACACCAGTGTTCACAAATCACTCGCAGCGAGACACAGTTTTTTTAAGGAGCACGTTACGTTAGCATTAGTTTGAGCACTCAAAACCTGATATTCGTTGTTTTTTTTTAAAGTTCCTCAGTTTATTTACATCTAATTATCCCCGAACTGTTCCGAATAAATTGATCGCTTGACTGTGCGTTCTAACGAGTCTCAACACTGGTTTTTTTTTTCATGGCAATAGTGCAGTGAGGTGATAAATTGACGAGACTTTAACGGGATAACATCTTACGAGACTGACGAGCTTGAGATTACATTGATAAATCAAGGTTGATATTCAGTAAAGATATATTGGCTGTACTATTCACTCTCATTTTCCATAGGGGTAGCACAGCACGACGAAAGTAACCTTTCATTGATTGGAAATGCATAAAAACAAAGCGAAATAAAAGGGAAAGGAATGTGTCTACCAGCAGCCGAATTGAGTACAGTGGCCCTGAGGGGACATATACTTCGAGGTAAATAATTCAACATTAGAAAGAGGAAGAGAAAAAGACTCAGGAAAAGGGGTTCCTAAACTTGTACGAAGAAAATCCGAAATCAGTACTGCTTGTGGTCTGTTCCACTCCACTTCAATGTTTCCCCCGATATAAAACGATTGCTTCATACAAATTTGACTTTTGATTTTCCCCCAAAATTTGTAAACAGATTAACTCACTCGTGTACAGAACCAGGGATCAAACAATATGGCTGCTCGTCTACCTGTGCACATTACCTATCTGACCCTACTGGGGCTGGTGCTCTCAGCTGCCCTTGTCGGGGCACTTAAGCCAGGCGAGCTTCTAGACATGACGTATGTCTATGACAACGAAACCACCCTTCGCTGGCCAGGGGCTCCACCCTTCGAGCAGACGATTCTTTCGCGAGGTCCGACGCCCTCGATGCCCTGGTAAGATAACTTGTACATCGTTAACACCTGCTGCGTATGTTTTATCGATGAACTTCATAGTAGGCTTCCACGTTGAACCGTCCGACTGATGCGGTTAATTAATATCGATTCGTGTTAATACGTCACAGACACCACAAACTGACACTCACCTGCAAGTGGGTATCAGTTCGAGAAAACCACGTTATCAACAATTTCGGTTTCACGAACTGACATCAGGTGGTGCGCACGCACATTGGACGCTGATGCGAAACAGACTGATTTTACCCACTCTCGTATAAATAATGCAACGCTGACAACAATGCTCCGAAAACTTTGACATGAATTTAAAAATTCAATAAAAAGTCGTTTTTAGTGGTGAAATTAAGATCGTGAAAACCTGTGCTGCACTGTACTGGGTGCCAACGTGGTGTCGGTGACGAATAAATCACGGCGATTTTTTGAAATGTGGCCCATTTCAAGATTGAGTTAGCCTGAAAAAATGTGTTTTAAGAGCGGTTCAGGAGAATGGATGCGACCAATGCCTGAGTAGTCTTGGCCCAAAAAATGATTGATAGTTGTTTTATTTCTGTTGAAGAGCGCCCTCAGACAACTAGTTTTTACTTACTCTCATTAACAGTGCGAGCTGGCGCACAGTCTAATTATGAGTCGTTGGGGGCGCACTATGCACGGTGTCCGCTATCAAGCACTAATGTCTTGAAACCAAGACTACTGCCTGAGCCGCAGAAGAGGGCATTATCAGCGTCTATTCCCGTGAGCCAGTCTTAAACTTTAGCTCATGTTGCACGTTGTTGAATAGGGAAACTGTCTGAGATGTTTATGAAGGTTAGTTAATTTGAAGTTCTTGAGTTTCATCAGTACATGTACATTCGTTACTGTGTGTATGCATGTTGATTCTATAAGAACGAGCGTTCAAAATATTCTGTTATTTGGACAATATTTGGCCAAGAGAGCCCCACCTCCTGTGTGTCTTGTCCTATCAAGACAAAAACCCAATCGTTATGTTTCAGTTTTGTAAAATAATCAACAGGTTAGAAATGAACAAAATCAGCACTGCAGAGCATTTTGGCACACATCTGGATGCCCCGGCTCACACGGCTAAGGGTAAATGGCGCACCGACGAAATCCCCGTCGAGAACCTCATTGGTCCCGCTGTTCGAGTAGACGTGTCTAGCAAAGCGAAAGCAGATGTTGACTACCGGCTGACACAGGCCGATCTGACCGAGTGGGTGTCTGCCAACGGACCAATCCCCGCCGGTGCTCTGCTCTTTGTCTATACCGGCTTCGGAGACTATTGGTCGGATCGGCTGCAGTATTTCGGCTACGCCGGCACCGATGATTACATAGACGCAGACGGTAAGTCTCTGCTACATTTTCCGGGCATCTCCGTGGAGGCTGCGACTTGGCTGGTGGAGAACACCAAAGTCACTGGCGTGGGTATCGACACAGCATCCCTAGATTTCGGACAGAGCTTGGCCTTCGAAGCTCACCAGGTTCTACTCACGAAGAACATCTTCGGCTTGGAGAACGTGGCCAACTTGGATCAGCTGCCAACCAAGGGCGCCACGGTGTACGCACTGCCCATGAAAATCTGGGACGGGAGCGGTGGTCCTGTGCGTATTATTGCCACTGGCGGATCTAGTCTGTTGCAGGTCGACTTTGCCGCCCTCTTACTGATTGGAATTTCTATGCTCTTGAAGACAGTTATTTAGACCGTTATTGAGGACGGCAAAATTCAAACTTCATTCAAAAATTTCGAATATCACCTGCACACTGACGGCATAGAAGGTGTGATCTTCTTTTTATTAATTTTTCGCAGGACTATTATGTATCTACTAGAATACTTCACATTATATAATAGCATAAACACTTTCACATTGATTGCCAGTCGGTATTGCTGAATTATTTTGATCAATGATGAGCTAAAAAATAGGAGACTCTGATATTCCTTAGAAGTAGACGAGGCAAAGAAATCGCTTACTTTGTTCCTCCATGCTCCGGGCCGAATCAGCGTGCTCCACATTTTCTCCAATATCCTCTCAGTGCCGAGTGTGGTTTTTTTTTCTCACGAACTATCCTGGTTGACACGTGCTCTACGCTTGCCGGCCTACATGCGAGTGCGGGCGTGAACTATAAAAACGACCGTAACCACAAAACCCCTCGATCGTTGGATTATGCTAAAACTTTCCGGATGCACTCATAAAATGCAAACCAAGTTCCAAATAGATCAGGCGTAGCACAGTGGAAACCTTAAGTGGGCGGATTCTTCCTTCTTCCCCAACTGTGGCATGTCTGGGGAGAGATAGTTCACTTAGGGACGAGAGGTTCCAAAATGATGAAGAAGTTTACTAATGATCAATGTCTGCATTCTGTTTCGCAGTTGCTGTAGGTTTTAGTGCACTTCCATGCTTTTTATGCTCTTCTTTGCGATGAGACTGGCTTACGGGCAATGACTAACGCCAAGCGAATTTGGTATTACGAAAAGGTTTGCACGTTTGAGGTGAAATAACTGCAGGGTTTTATTTTTCAATTTGCAGCGCGGATATTTTGATCTGATGTCAAAAACTGATCTGATGTTCGCTTTCGCGAACCAAATCTCTCATGGCTCTTTTTGTATTTACCGTGAAACTTGTCACAATTGTCGGCTCCCTCGCTGCATGCAATAGACCAACAAAGGCAACGTCCGAAGAGGCTCAGAAAGCTCGAAAATACTGCTCGAAATTTTATTTTGTGTGGTTTTCTGCTTGCAGTTTGCATTTTTTGCGAAATATGCATGTCAAAGAGCCGTCTTGTTATCTGCGAGGGCGTTTCAAGAACCACATTTTTCCGGGGAGGCAAATTTTGTTTTAAGGGCACCAAACAACTTGGCGAGTTCTTCATTAACGTTGTAAGGCCTTTGTGGTGGGTATAGGGTTCAGTGTGAGGGCTTTTACATACCTTTGTGGTGAAGATGATATAATAACCAGTCTATACTTCATATTTCAAACGAAAAAGAAATGCCTCTTTGGGGTGGGGTATCCCCTGTTGCCCGCGCCCACCTCACACGATCCATTAGTTATTCTGAGTCGGGAATTCTTCTGCATGATGGTGTGGACGTTTGGCTTTTTACATTTGCATTTCCTGACAAATCTGCATGCCCCTGATAAGAAAAAAATGCAACCAGCAAAGTCAATAACAGCTTTCACTGTGCGTGTTATTATGGTAGTGCAAGTAGTTGGACACGTCTACAAGTTAGTAGTTCTTAGACACACTTGAATTACGGTGAACGAGTGTGGCCGTCCCCCCTTTTGAAATAACAGCCACAAGTTTCATCCACAAATGCAACTTTTTCGTCAGAAGCCTAGTAACGAATCCATATTTTGCTCATGAGTTGGTTTTATCATACAATAGAATTTCGAAAAGGAAGAAAAATACTCGTAAAGTCAGTTTCGATATCGTATATATTATCCTGGCGTGAAAAAGGTCCAAACAACAAATATTTGGTTCTTTGCATTTTCAATTTGTCATCCCAAGAGCTTTGAATGAAGCCATAGTTCAGCACTTATATTTTGCAGTGTTTTTTCAATTGTAGACCGTAAACCTGTGGTCAAATTACATAAAAGTGAATTTTAAACTGAACTTTAGTTTGAAGGAAAAGGGCCTCCACAAGAATGCTTTAATAAAATCGCCCATCTTTGCTGCTGAGGTCAATTTTATCATTGTGTAAGTCTCTTTGTCTTGTGTGGATCGCCAACATTCGATTGCCCAGAAAGAGTGGATCGCCAACAATCAATGCCCAGAAAGACCTTCAAATTAATCACACAATAACTCTGAACAAATCTGAAGTGGCCAAAAATTAACCAAAACTAAAATGATCCTGGCTGTTTATTGTCATTAAATGATATTCAAAAAAGGAGAATCCTCTGTTCCCGTTTTTGAGGAATTGGTTTCAAGGATGACTGAGGGCGCCATTCAACATTGCCTGTTATCCTTTGTAAAACAAATTAGGGAAACTGACGAGGTGCTTATAAATGATTATAAAGATGAACAAAAAATTGGCTGGAGCGGTTTTGAACCTACGGCCTCCAGAATACAGTACCGATGCTCTACCAACTGAGCAATCCAGCCCTGTGTTGGTGGCTAGCGCCCCCGAACAAAGATATTGACAATTGGACTTTGGTTTCAACCCCCTTCCCCCATGAGTAGTGTCCAACTAAAATTACATTTTTGTCAAAAAAAATGCGAATGTTTCAAAATGCTATTTTTTTTCAGTCAGAATAAAATAAGTACCGGTAACGTCGGACAGTGTTACATTTTAATAAGGTTGCACAGAACATGTTTCTAAGTTGAATTTACGGCATATTTGGAGGCAAAGGGGCTAAGTGCAATATTTCTTTAATTTTTCAATTTCTGAAGCAAGTCTTTTAAGTTGTAAAGCTACTTGGCACTACCTATGCCCACTACAATTGTGATTTGATGTAAAAAGGGGGGGGGGGAATATATCCGTCCACAACAGAAACGCTTTTCAGCCCAGCGATTACAGAGTGCACTTGATCATGTGCTCTCGACTGAAGGTCACGATGACGTAGCGTGTGCAGGTTTATGTGTTATGTTGCCGCCGCCTACATATTTACAGCGCGCAGCGCGTCGGTGCATGCAATGCAATCAATCTCTTCCGCTAGCGCTGTACATGTACGTACATGTTGGTACGTGGATTATGTTTTCATCATTTTGTGCCGACCAAAGATAGCCTTTTCCCAGCACCCAAAACGTTATTTCGGCAATCCTACATTTTAGTGAGGTTATCAGTCAGGTGTCGGTCAACACTTGGTGCTTCCACCAGCTATGTCCGGCCGTCTGCGATCGTCCACTCAGTCTGCTGGTTCGACTGCTGGCTCGTGCGGCAAACATGATTCTGCTTCGCCACCTCGTTCACAGGTAAGTGGGCGTATTCATTATTTAATGTACATGTACATGGGTGGACTATTTCCAACCTCGAACGTGGTCGAATCTTGCCTTGCCCTTCATTTGTATTAATCTTTTAAGCCTCTCAAAATTCAGCAATGCAATTTCATGTTTTTTCCAAACATCGTTGGCCAACTATTTCGCCTTAATGGATGTCCATGCAATCTGTTCTTTTTGTGCACCGTTAGTGTAACGTTCCAAGTGCCCTATTAACACATTATGTTAAATTTATTTTAGGTTGTTTAACGTTAGGTCTTGTGAATGTGACTGTTGGAAAGAAAAACATGGCAGGAAATCATGGTTTCCCTCACAATTCTCATGACATATTTATTTCTCAAGAGCCACGATGCAGACATCCATTGCTTGGCTATTCATTGTGCTTCTATCGCACCCGACTTGATGCATGTCCCTACGACATGCTTGTACTTGTCACAGACTCACTGGCCCAGCGCGCGACGTCTGCTTATTTTTGCAGTGACGCACGTCGCGTGCATCTTCACAGTTCCAATGTACCATGACTGTCCCATTAGCAGTGTGTATTGTGTCACTTACCTGCACTGCATTGGGAATTTTCATACGAAGTTGTACTAGCAAAGGCATATTGTCTTAACCCTCTTGCTTGTGAATCGATTATTTAAATAGACGTGGTCCAGTTAGACCTAAGCAGCATATACATGTAACAGGCTGCTTAAACCCCACCCCTTAAGATGCATAATTAATTTGGCACACATGCTATGCGCGTGCTTCGGTTTGTAATACGCATGCGCTCCTGTTGTACGTACAGTATAGAGCCTGAAAGTTGACCCCTGATATCGCGCTTCCGGAACCCTTGGATAGAAAAAAGTGCAAAGATTTTAGAATCATATTTTTCCGTTCAGTTATTTCTTTAAAAATCCAACTGGGAAAAGGGGCTTTGGAAAATATTTGCTAGTATATCAATTTATAGAAACTGAAAAATCACCTGACCTAAAAGAGAAATATCCTGCCACAAATTGACCCATCACTTCCGAAAATTTAAAATACACGAAGCTTAAGAACAGTGCAATGAGGCAGTTTCGTACGCAGATGAACATTTACGGTCTGTCGGTAAAAGCCGAAAGAAAAACAGATCAAAATGTTTCACACAGTTAAAATTATAATTGATAAGGTCATAAATTTAAAGCAATATTCTACTTTTACAAAGATTCAAATATTTTATCTAACCTTTGCTGACAACAACTGCGTAATGCCAACTCAACGAAATCTGGAACCCACCGACTACAGGTGGGTAAATCTTTGTAACGTTTACAGTCTCGTTTTCCCGTTAGTACGGGCAGTGGAAACAATGAACAAGAAGAACAATGCATGAACAAGGAGGCCTAGGTATGCCTACGATATCGCCGGACGTGAAAGGTCGTAAATAGAATTCGTTTCTTACCCATCTCCATGTGATTTTCCTAAACATTACTTGAGGAAGACAAAGGTAAAATTCCAACATGAGTGTTTCATGGGGTGGTTTCAGTGAGGAATTATTCTTCCAAAAATTATCGAGCGTGATAGGGCGGCCCAATGTAAAATCCCCACAGGCGGACTCCGCTTGGCAAGGGTTCCGGAAGCTCGCTGCGTGACCTTTTACTTTCGGGCTCTATACCTGCAAGGAGTTGCAGTTGCAACCTGAATATTCACATTGACACCAGCGGTGGATTTTACTTCACTCTATTTTTTATTCCAAAAAGTCGGAATATATAAGCCTCGCTAGGAGGGGGCTGCTGAAGGGAAGAGCAGTATCGAATTTTGTACTGATATCGCGTGCGGGGATTTATTTTTCTAAAACGACTGTTTTATTTCTTCGGGAATGAGGGTTTCTAATCCTTTTTTTCATCCCCAAAGGAAGGTACTGGCACCAATATCAAGTGTTAGCGCTTTCAAAAGGTAACATGCCCCTGGGGACAAGTTCAACTCCCCATCCCCTTTCCCGTTGGGTACTCCCAAAGTGGGTCAGCTCTCGACAGTGTGACGAGAAATTAATGGTCTGTGGAGGCTAGCGATGTTCTTTCCCTTCTTTCTTTCTTTCCGTTTTTCTTCATTTGGAAATTGTTTCTCTTTCCCCCGAGGGTGGAAGCACCCCTCAACCATTAGTACGAATCGAGGGAAGGGTATGACACCATACCCCTTCGCACTTTTGAGGAAGTTGGGATTTGGCAATCTGGTGCGTAACAGAAAGTACGTAGCCTAGGTCATTGGCCAATTTAAATATCAATGAAATGAGAAGCCGGCAAACAGGACACACAGTTTTACAGTTGCTGCTTTTTTTCATCTTTAAACTCTTTATATGATAGACACACTGCAGTACCACCTCGCCCCCTACTTTTCAAAATTTACGGCTGTGTTCATCTTGAGGATTTGTCACCTGGCATTGTCCAGTTGTCGACATGCATAAGGCCTATTCACCACTGCCCCCAACCACCACACCCCCGGCTGCGCCATTGAACATTTTAGGGTATCTGTCATAGTTCAGTTTCCTTCCAATGACTATGTAAAAATTTCAGAGGTTAACACAAAACTGATCACTCCACGAATAGTCCCTGCTCACTGTGTCAAATCACCGATTAGACTCTAGGCAGTCTCCTCCGTAAAAAAAAATAAACGAATAAAACGCAAACAAAATGGGGCAAGTTCTGTAGGTCAAATTGTCTGTGAGAAAAATCCGATCGACGAAGGTGTTCACTTCTTCAGCTCTCACATCACACTATCACATATAGAACTACTGCAAAAATGTAAATTACCTTGCGGATTGCCGTTTCATTGTTACTTTTTGGTTACACTGGCGGCACCATGATTCCTCTGCATGGTGCCCAAAGTGGGAACATAAGAAGGAAGACCAGTAAAAGGTTGATCATTAAAAATGGTTGTTTTCCCTCCCTATGACAGCTAAACCCGCTTCACCAAACCCCAGGGTAAGTAGTCGCTGCGTGGCACCACACTTGGCCGCTCAATGTTACAAGAGAGCTTCATTTCCAAAGTTTCAGATTTGTGTAGTGCAGAACACCTCTACCGAATATCCCAGCCGTTGGCATGATGCTGATACCCGAGTGGTAACTGCATACATTCAAGTTGCCGAACGGTTCTGATTATTATTAATACATTCAGCCATGGGCGTAAATCCCTGGGTGGGGACAGGGGATAATATCCCCCAGTTTTGGGACCCCCCTCAGTTTTTGTGCCAAGCAGAAATAGCAGTGCTTATTATCACCCTCGTGAAATCAGTTAAGAGACAAAAGTAATAAAAAGACAACTCACTAGTACTTTCAGCAGAAAATCTGGTTTTCGTTTCAGTGAAAATGGACGGATTACACGATAAGATTTCAGTGTTATCATTAAGATGACTTTCAATCCAACTTTCAGCCATTTCAGTTAGTATCGATTTGAGGAGCTAACCACACATTCATGTTACACGTCGTAAACTGCACTAGTAGCCTATCCGGTTCTTGACTTTGTCATACACACGAACGCAAAACGATTTGCAGGCTCCCATTGGACGATCACTAAAGATACGCGTTAACTTCCAGTTCCATGTATTAATTAAAACGGCGATCAGTAACTCTATGTGCATGCAGAGTAAGTGTAGTTGGCGTGGTTTAAACTGAAGTGACGTCACACTTGCGGACCGGATTATAAAAGGGAGAAATGGGAAAAATGGGAAAAAATAACATTATTTAAGCATACATTTTTGGTTTGATTTAATATGATACATTGACACAATACCAAGAAATTTCTAATAGCATTGGTGAAATGCACCAATCCTTCGAAATTCAGTGTCATGGGGGAGATTTAGTAGACAGCTTTCCTCAATAAGTCTCATATGCTTCAGGATGGATCGGGGGGGGGGGAACCGGAGTATCCCCCCATCCATAAAAAGACGCTTGTTATTTTTTAAACTAATGAAAGAAAGGCGAATAGGGGTGTGTTTCGTTTACATTTCTTCGGTATCATAAGGCCTGACATATGTAGCCTCACCCCTCAGAAAGGATATTACATGACATTACACGAAAACTTATCTGCCTTTATGCCCCTGTCCCCGGCCCCCAAACCCCACAAAGTTTCGCTCCTCCAAAACTTGGGTCCTGGACCCGCTGTTTCATGCGCTTCCAGTTCAAGTTAGTCGCTTTACCGAGTCGCTAAATTCCCCCACAGCATCAGAACGTTAAACCGCCTGTTTAAATTTTGGACGCGTCATGTCAGTGCCCTTCCGCTGACCACTATACTAGTAATATCGTTTTACAAAATTTATCATCATCACCAAGGTTGTCCTTTTATCCCCATCATTCGATCAACAGCAGGAAAATTTTAATCAATCGACACAGAGACTGCATGGGTGTACCGTTCCATATGTGCGCACTTGTGCAGACACGTAAAAAGACATGATACATGATACACACACATAAAAAATGTACATGTTATGCATGACATACATGTACATGTACATGTACAATAGGGGAACAAAACATACGGCCGCGGGAGACATGCCGAGAGGGTGGATCAGCATAATTTAGTGCACAAACGAGCGTCGCGCGTCGCGTCGGCAGGCTGACCTGGAATCGGGGTCAAGGTATTCTTCGGATCGGTTTTCATAGACGGACACGATGGGTGACGCTTGAAGCATTTAAAATTTCACGGCCCACGCCTAATCGCAAAACGGACGTGCCAAAAGTTTAGTGGTCATGCGGAAATATGTAAATATCAATTTTTTCGTCAGTTCCATATGACTGTATTTTGTAAAGAAAGAAAACAATGACGCTTACAATAGACTTCATAGATGCATTCTGGTTGTTATTTCTATTTATTGAAATTTATGTTCTAAGCAAACACAATGTTCATGTTGTTATCGCAGACCTAAATATTGATGTCAATGTTCTTTTCTTTCTCTGTTACTTATTTTTGTTTGTTTGTTACGTCCACCTTAAGAAATGTCTAACCGAAGCCAATATTGCTTGATTGATTTTGATCTTATGAGTAAATTTTATTTGCTCTGTGTAAATAGATGTCAAGATTGCAAAACTCCTTGAGGTTTGTTTGGCAAAACTTATTTTTGTTGCCTATTTATGAACTCGTAGAATACTCCTCACTGTAAAGAAACTAACCTCCACCCCCCCAAAAAAATCCCCCATCCAGCACAGAATGACAAGCATATAATTTTAATGGTAATACAAAGGGCCAATCCATTTACATACGGGTATTAATACTTTAATCAATCTATGCTTTGATTTGGCAGACAAAGTGTAAACAAACTGAATGTTTGAACTATACGAAATAATGAGAACAAAGAATATCGAATTCTTAACATTGTTTTGAAATAAATATTGGCAAATAAACGCCTTTACAGAAATGCCACACACATCATTTTTACGCCCCTCCCAGCGTCTAATTGAAAGTTTAATGCTTCAATAGTAAATTGTGTATCATTCAAACGTATCCGAATTTGCTCAATGTGGATGCTTGTGCTGCACGAGTAGAGGTAGGTCATTATTATTTACACACGATCAAATTATTTTCCAAATAGGCCTAGATTTGGATGAGGCATTTTTATGAGGCAGCAGAAAATCCAAAGATTGTGTTGAAAAATACAATTGAATGACGTGCAGCAAATGCAAAATGGTTCGATCTACTCACAACGTTCGTACTTAGTCGTAGATAGACGTAGTGCATGTTTTGTAGGCCGTGATTAAAAATTCGGTCGTGTATTCGCCGTCTATTTCCGACACCTGTGGTCTTCACGCAAAAACACCAGAGGTTTACAAGGCCTGAGAGATCGAGATAGAATCGTATTTCACCCGTTTTCCCAAAATCATCGATGCACAAATTTATCATGTAAAGCCTAAGCGTGTAGTCTGGCTTGGTTTGTCGCCTGACACAACCTCGGTGTTTGTGTTCGCCTCTAAAGTCTGGAAAATCCCCTAAAATACCTACCCCAAGGCAGTAACGTTAGTCATGTTAAATTGTTATTGTTAGGCTCCAGTATTGTTTGTTATGATATTATGTAACTCACCATACCTAGCCTCATAGGCATAAATGACTGGTTTGTGTTACTGTTCTGGAATGCTTTTGTGAGCCTGAGGTGACAAGTAGAATGGATTGTTTCACCTTTCTGTCTAGTCTCCAAATGAAATAAGTCTTCCAAATGCACGAATGAGAACATCTTTTCTTTCCTACAATTATTAGTATTTCATTCATGCCAACAGTGCACATCACAAAGGGATGGGCATAGGAAAGATAAAAGTAATAAAATCACTGGAGTCAAAAGACTTGTCTCCCCACATCCAGTTATGAGAAAAAAACTATTTAAAAATATATATATAAATATATAGGCCTACATGTGTAAATGCAAATACATTGTATGTACGTACATGGGTAAAAAAGACCCTGACATTTTAAGTATTGTTAACAACAACAATAATTATTTTTAAAAAAGGCAATAATTAATCATTAAAAAGGACACCCAATATCTAAGACAAAGGACATACAAGTAACAAAACAGTAACTGACGAAAAATAGATGATACTTCCCAGTTTAAAATTAACAAATTATGCATTAACACATGAGATAAACGACATGAGATAACAAGTGTGTAAATACATGTAAAGGGAAAACAAGGGAGGAGATAGAACCACGATTGACTGTGAAGTAACTAAAATTGTATTATTCATGGCGATACCTCAATACTTAGGAAAATGTTTGGATTCTAGCCTGAAGAGATATATACGCATGTGTGGCCAGTATTCTACAGTTGGCTGAATGCTGAACAGATCCTCACCTGATTAACAAATGATGCATCATCACAAGACATTACATTATTTATGAGTTAAGAACTTTTGTGTGATTATCAATAAGAATGTTCTTTCTACCGTGCTTACGGCAACCCTTGGATTGTAAAAAGGGGCAGGTGATGAACATTATTATGTTGCAGCAGGAAGTTTTGAAGAGACACGCTTGTTTCAAGTATGAACGGTACAACCTTTAGAGAAATTCATAAACATAGAAGATATATACATAGACAGATCAAGTTCTGTGAACTAACTTGCAGAAATTGTTTTCTCCATCATTGTTTAACGACCTCCAACTGCAGTGTAGCATTTGTGTAGTGTGTTAATGCTATTTGGCTAGGATACAGAGACTCGTTGCCACATTCGCCTCATGTCATGTTTGGCAATTTTAGTGTGTGGCGTGGCAGGAACCAGCATAGCATTGCTTCACTGAGCATCATTACACACCCCTTTTCTTCAACGTGAAACTATAAACAGGGAAGTTGTGAAAAGAACGGAAGTTACTTTGAAAAATGGCTAATGTAAGTAGGCATACAAATAAATACAAATGTGTTTGACATAAAAAAATTGTTGAAAGGCAAGAGAGACAAATATTTCTTACAGTTTTCTATTTTTTTCTTCAACATTGCCAATTAAAATGTTAGGGTCATACCATGAAACGAGGTTTGTCACAGAACGGGGAGCAGAAGTTTTTTAGCCCTTCCAGCCATATTCAGCATTCTTCCTGAAAGCTTTCTGCTTGCCCTGCTTGTGAAGTTTTACGTAATGACCAAAAGTGTCGCTGGAAGGGGAAAAGCACAAATATTTCTGCTTTGCCTGTCCAACGGGACTTTGTTACCATTATGTTTTTGCCCGAGTGGAACTAGTATCTATGGTAAAACCAATGCTCACTGGATTATGGTTGGTAACGTAAAAGTGGCCCACAGTTTCTTAATGTGTGTTTTTTCTTTTGAATCTTATTCAGCCACCCAGGAGGGCAAGAATGGCTGATGAGGGTACGGACTTGGCCAATGGGCCATCAACATCAAAGGTGGGTTCACAGTTCAGGTTTTTTTTCGCTTCCTGTACTTTTGTGGGTACATTTGACTGCAGCTTAGTAAACGTTAGATCACTGCGGCTGCCAAAACGCGCCATCCTATTTCATTTTAGAATGAAGCCACATGTTGTGCACAAAGCTGTCTCAGTAGAGTGGTGTGATGTGTCTATCGGTGTGCACTGTAGAAGAGAAAGAGGATTAAATTTTTGAACCGTCTGTGACGGTTCAGACAAGAGGAGGGTTAAGCAGTAGTAAATGAAGTAAGATGCCCGAATGTCGTAGAAATCAAACTCCTTTGCAGAGTATCGTCAGAGTATATGAATATTTCACGCTGTGATCGGAACGCCGTTCAAATTGTGAATGAGCCTGGCCCAGAATGAAGAGATTTCTAACTCAGTCGTGAGACTGCAAAGTTCAGCTGATTTTCTTGTGTTGATTTATCACGTGTGTCATTAGAAGTGGAAAACACTTTACAAAGTCTGTGCTTGTCAAGATTTCCTTTGTTGTCCCATCGCACGCCTACCGATGTTTCCTGCAGCTTGTGCTCTGTACAATGCAAATTCTTCCAGCATTCCAGTGAGAACTAACCCATTCCATTCCTCCGATGTTTCATTGCAGGGTAAGAGGCGAGCGGCAAGCGCCCCGAGCCCTCGCAGTCCACAGATCAAGCGCAAGCGTATGCCGGCTGAGTACTACCAGTCGGATGTGGTAGATGCCATCAGCAAGCAGTCCACAAGGACGCCCACCTCAGACAAGGAGGTGTTCTTCAACAAGAACACGTACTTGGCCGTGAGGACAGACAATGGTGAGCACCTGTCGGCAGTCTTGACGACAGCCTGTGTAAAATGCAACAGAGTACAACATTGGTCAAAGTGTTGTATACTTTTGGATTTGGGTAATCAGTTGGCCGGTTCAGTATTCCTAAAGAACAGTGCCATTCGGGAGCAAAGCACAAGCCCAAGTCTGTGTACATGTAGGGCCGTGCCAATAAGGTGGACGGCATGACCTCATACTTGCATCATTTTGATTACGTGCTGTGGAATACAGAACTTACTCACACAAGTGACAAGGCATCCCGTGTAACCGACTGGTCCCAAGATTGGTACTTGCCATTTGCACTGCTCAGTGTAGCTCGCTTCTACTTTGTTGCATTTTGGTGTTTTGACCATGGTAACCATTATAGCCAGTGTTGTACTTGAGCTTTCTTTCCAAGACCCAGAGTAAACTGCATTCTATTATTACATTGTTAGAATCAAACCAAAGTACCAAGGCAGCGGTGGCTGAAATGCCTTAAAGAAGGAATGTAAGTGTTGAGGGCGCACAGATAGCATGAAACATAAAAGAAATATTCAGATATTTGCAAAGTCTAAGTCCTTTTGAAATATATACACAACATATCTTTCTGTAGAAACACCCAGATTCAATCTCATAAGCGTCATTACCTACTGTGTAATTATCCGAGCTTGATTCCTCTCAAAAGCCCCATATTTTGGCTTACTTGTTGGACTCAGGGAAAGGAATCGACTGCAGCACAAATCACAGCTACGTGAATTTTGGGTTTTCTTACATTAAGCCTAACCCCCTGGGGGGTATGTAAAAGTATATTGAAATTGGAGGATTTGGGACTGTTAGGGTTAAGAGGAGTACCTTGATAAAAGTCTGTAGAGGAACTAAATAATATGATCCCATTTACCAATCTGAACGTCAGTATGGTTGATCAAATAGCCCCAAGGTTTGTTTTTTTTATCAGAACAAAATGTGCAACACGGACTGCCCACTTCACTTGGAACGTAACAGAAATAACGATTGTGATGTTTGTCTTTGAATCGATGCGTGGCATTACCACAGCTTAATTCTATAAATGAAAACGAAGTTGGCCTGTCAAAAACTAAAATTGATATTTGAAAATAGACGTTTAGTGGCCCTGTTTTATTTTCAGGGTACTGGTAGGGTTGAATGCAGGATAAGTTTGTTTATTTGGGTTTTTTATGTTCAAAGGTTACAAAAGTTTTCTGACTGAAGATGTGTAAACATCACAGCAAAAATACAAGATTTAACGTTTCACATGTGCCTTATCATCAAGAGGCAGTTTCCCTCACAGACGACAAGTTGATGGCACTCAAAGCAAAAGTCAAACAAAAAAACTATGTCTGTTTTTGCATGTCTTTCCAGGGAAATATTTCATCTGCAAGACTGCCCAGAACGTCTACCACACCACCAAGATGTTCAAGATCCTCTGGCTGGAGCTGCGCACGATGCCGGGTACCTACGAGATGTCATATCGCGACACCATCGACATCGACAGCGTCTTGACCGACGTAGTCATGAACAGGCAGGCCGGCGGGCTGCTGACACTGCCACGCAATGAGATTAACCGCGTGGAGCAGATCCTTGGGTTAGCCATCAAGAAAGAGAACGGAATGCTGGATAACGACGTAGGTAAGTGGTTTCACCAAGATCAAGGGGATTGTACACGTCTTAAACATTCTCTTTTGGTTGAATTTGAATTTGGTCCCGCTTTTTGGGGCTGAATATGCCCAAACCCTCAAGCTTACAGGAGTACATTGGAGGTTGCAATCGTTCTTCAGCGTGATCTTGGAAGGGAGTGATTTGGAAGGTGTTCATTTGCTTATTAGTAGACTTTGCTTGTACTTCATTAAATTTTCATTAAACTCGGTTTGTTTTGACATTCTTGAAGCATTGCAAAAGAAACATGTATATGTATGCCACTTTTAACATTTGCATTTTCCATCTGCCCCTACTTTGCCAGAGACATTTTGATGAACTGATTTCATGATGCTGTTCTTTTCAGCACATTATGCCAATTATGTCTTCATGGTTCTGTTAGGATACTTTCCCCTTATTGTCGTTTTCTTTCACAGGTCCTAGATTCCGTGAAATGAAGGAAGTGAAGACAGATCAAGATGAGGACAAAGGAGATGAAGAAGAGGAAGATGAGGACGAGGATGATGACGATGACGATGACAATGACAATGACGATGCAGACAAGCCATCCACCTCGACCCGGACCAAGACCAACCCCAAAGCCAAGAAGCGAGCCCCCAAGAAGCCCAAACCAAAGCCGAAGAAGGTGCAGAGCAAAGCGGACAGCCCCAGTCCACCCAGCAAGCAGAAGGGACGAGGCAGGCCCAAGGCCACCATCACGACCAAAACAGCAACGAAGAAAGGTCAGTTGGAAGTGTGATTGGTCAGAGGTGATGTTGCTAAGCATCTTCTTTCAGTCTGATTTGAAGTCCCATTTCTGCTTTCCCAAGCTCTTTGGACATTCAGGTACGTCATCACTATGAAGTCATGAAGACCTGCCCCATCCGAGCGCTGTGCCAGTTACTGTTCAGAAATGCCATGAAATGCTTTTTTTTCTTTCAAGTAGCTAACATATTTTGAAAGTTGCCAACATAATGTTTCTTACTTGAGGTAGTGGCGCCTCCCTTGTCATGATTACAACCCATTTTTTTGTCCATACAGTAAATCTACCAACGGTGTTGTTATTTACTGCCTGCCTGGCAGGCCCAATTATTTTTTGCCTGGCCAATTCTGGCTGTGCTTGTCAGAAATGGAGGGGGCAACGTCAAAGGCCATGTGGCAACAATATGACTTGTTTTGTTGGCCATGCCATGGGACCCAAGATGCCAATGGGTAAATCTGTAGGTAGTGCTTACAGAGCCCTGCTCCAATGGCATTCTTGCATGGAACCTGCCTGATTCCTCAAAAAAAAAATTTCTGCGGTGCTGGAGACTGTAGGTACATTCTTGGTAGTGAAATGATCATGGGCCAGTGAGTCTCCCTTGAAAAGTAACAGTACCCGGGCCCTCTGTGCCTCCCTCCTGCTAAAGTCCGGCCAGACATTCAGGGTAGTTCAGGGCAGGGGTCAAGGCATTTTGATTCTTGTGTGGAGATGGTCAAGTCAGTTTTTGTGGTTGAATTTTCATGTCGCTCCCTTTCAGTGGCCAAGAAAATCACTGCCAAGGCAAAGAGCACCAAAGGCAAAGCTGCTGCCAAACCTGCCAAGCTAGGACGCAAGAAGCCCGCCAGCAAGGACAAGAAGGCCGCAGCCAAGGCCAAGGCCAAGGACAAGGCCAAGAAGATGAAGAAAGCCAAGGAGGAGAAAGCCAAGAAGGAGAAGAAGCCAAAGGAGAAGCTTCATCCCAACGACCAGCTCACACCCAACAATGACATCGAGGTGGTGCCTAAGGACCCTATGTTTGAAGTCAAGTGAGTCAATCCACTCCCTGCAGGTACAAGACATGGCATGCCTCAAGGGCAGATCCGGAACTGAGGGATCTGTTCTTAGTGTGCTTCGACAAATCAGTGAAAGTCTTTTGGTGGAAACTCCACACTGCGCTGAGAATGGCAAATATAAATCGAAACCTGCCCGGCTCAACTTAAATGGTGAAAACTCCCCAAATTAGTTTCAGGTCAGGTCGGTTTGGGTTTTGGGTCATGTTTGCACAGCATTGCTGTGTTCAGGTTATGTAAATCGCATTGTGTGTTCAGTGGCATGGTCAGTAACACATTTTGCTCAGCTAGTATTTTCTGCGTTAAGTAGCTTTCTGGATTGATGGCACTCGGTGATTTGATCGTTGTTCTTTTTTCCCCATGCTTGTGCACACCATCCCTCAGAAATGAGAACGAGATCCCTGAGGTGTCCAAGTTTGTCCAGTGCAAGCGCAGCATCCGGGCCGTGCTGACCAATGACATGAGCCTCCTCAAGAAGCTGATCGAGGACAAGGATGTGCCTTCCGTCTTGGGGCCGCGGAGCGCCAGCATCCAGCTGACGGCGCTGGACTACGCTGCAAGGATGGACAACCAGGCTGCCCTGAAGCTGCTGATCCCTGAGATCAACAGCACCCAGCAGAGGGCCAAGCTGCCCGAGGTCATCATGCAGCATGAAGTGGCCGGCAGGTTGGTGCCCTGCAGGGACAAATATACCCGTTGCATTTCCATTTCAACGTTCAAATGCTTGTGGCGCCGCAAAGGGAGTGAAAATTTAATAAGAAAAAAAATCTGGTGCTGCATGTTTATAGTTTGAAGCTGTCATATATAAGCCTGGAGGAAAAGCTCTGTTGTCCTCGAGAGAAGTGTTTATATTTTTTAAGATACAGACCAATTTGATGGGATGCCAGTTACCGTAGTTACACCACACTCACGCAAGCGTTCAACACCAAGCCGCAAGGCCCTATTTGTTAAAGAGGCATTGAACACCTGCATACCACCTGCCCGTGAGCGTGCTTGCCAAATAAGTCTTTAAACATGTATACTGTCCGTGGCAGCATTTGGCATCTAGCCTAGCTCGTTGCAGTGAAACACTACAGTTGTTGAATTCAAACCCCTGCTCAGTGTATTACAATCCAACAGGTTGGCTAGCTGCCAATCCAAGGACCCAATTCAACTTGACTTTGAATGAGACTGGCTCCCATGATCTCAGCTTTGGCAGTTTAGGATGCTGTGGTTGACTACCTACTCATTAAACAAGGTCTCACAGATGCATAAACTTGTTGGGGGATGTGACTTTGAGCAGGATTGGGGTAGAAGGACTTTTGGAATGTTTCAGCTCAATACTTCATTGCAGTTTGTCCAAAATCAGTAGTTCCATCAATCGTAAAAATCCACCCGTCGATGGCCAGATCACTCAATGTCATTACTTTACGTGACTGTCTGTGTGTTTCCCAGGTATAACTTCAAGAGTCTTGGGCATGCTGTGAGGGAAATCAACATTGCCCGAGGGAGCCGAGAAGGCAACAACGCATTCACCAAGGTAAGCCTCACTCAGCCGGTTGATAGGCGTGACATGACTCCAGTGTTACTGCGTATTTAACTTCCGTGCTCATCGGTGACCTACTGTTTCAGTACCATGCTGAATGTTAATCATCTGGCAAATAACAACCACTCTACAAAGACACATTTGAGCAATGCGAATTCCACACCTTTCATTGCCTGTACTTCCAAAGCTTTCTTCAAACACGATTGTTTACTTTGGATCATTTTGAAGTACCTGAAAAATAATGTCATCATGAAAATTGAACATCATAATTACCTACTTCAATCTAGTTATAGAATACTTGATCTCATGCAATCTTTGCATGACTTGCCTCATTGTCAGCTCTGACGTAAGAGGTGATGTTGAATGAAAACAGTGAAGAAGTCAGTGAGTATTGTTGAATAGCAGTTGTCCGTCAATATGCTGTCTCGTTGCAGAACTCTACTCTTTGAAACAAAGCTCTTCAGCCAGTTATGAATTGTGTTTTGTTAGCACTAATCCTCCTCGGTCCTTCAACATCCTCATGGAGGTTTTAAGGGTATTTTGCAGGATTGGAGAAGAAAAGTGTTGGCACTGTTACTTTCCGTGGAGCTTTGGCACTCGATGAAAGACGAAGTGCAAAGATTGTTCTGTTACTCTCCCGCGGAATGATTTGAAAGATTTTGAAGGGATTGGGAAGAGTATTTAGCAAAAATGCCCAGAGAATTCATTTTGGTTGTAAAACAGGCCCCAACCTCAACCTCAGACCTCAACCCTTGATTACATGTACCATGAAGCATGATGTCATAAATACATATTCCTAATTTGGCTCCCTCATAAGGAATGACTTTGTCACTGTGTTACTCAGCAAGCAACATGCAGTACCCTGAATTCTTTCACTGCATGCTGCAGTGCACACCTTCAAGAAATGAATGGTGTTATTTTTGTTCTTGTTGGTGTAGGATTTAGACATGAATGTACATAACAGGGAGTACTTGCAAGAAGCTCTGTCATCTGGCATCTCGGAAAAAACCATCAATATGATCATGGTCGCTGACTCATCAGCAACGGTTAGTATTGATTGAGACTTGGGTATTTAGGGGAATCCAGCGGGGGCCAAACATTGGGTGATTTCTTTATGTAGGCGTTTATGGCCTTCTGAAGGAGCCGTTTAATTTGGAGTTTCTTACATGCTTCAGAAAGGAAATTAAGTAAGCCCCAAAATTGTTCTTTTCACATTTTATATCAGAACATAAAGAATTAAGCCCTGATTTTTTTTCAAGGGGAGGGCTGCAAATGTTTGGCATTTTGCAAGGCATGTACGCCGCATTTTTTAAAAGTAGGTTGGATGGCAAAATGTGCATAAACTTCCACTCTGAACATTTGTCAAGGCTTGACCTGGAAAACGGTACGTGCTTGCAATGGATTTCCTTTCAAGAGGAGAGTTAGAAAATAATGCAAAAGTAAACTAAAAAAAGGGGTAACTAGGTTTTGCCCCGGGGCAGAGGCACTCCACCAAACCCTCGTAAATCTCCTAAAGCCTCAAGGTAAACCTCAACTTACCACCTGTTTCGTTGTACATTCTCTCAATACTATATGAATCCATTTCTAGCTTAGTAATGAAACTAATCCAATCAATGTTCGTCATCTTGTTACCCTCCGTGACCATCCATGTGTGTTTGAGAAATAGTCTTGAGAACAGTCTTGAGTCTGACCTTTGGAAACTAAAGAGAGAGAAAACTGATGTATTCTTTCCCCAACTCAAACTGAAAAGTATTACTTTATCCCAGTTAAATGTCTAGAACATTCTGGATTCATGTCTTTGTTGATACTTTTGTGCCCTTTTGTTATTCGAAACCCCCTAGCAACACATACAAATGCACATCGTCAAAGCAATCAACGCAGGCCACCGGAAGTTAGCCGGCAGCCTGGTCAAGAAGTTCAACCAGTCCGGTGGGCTCAACTTCAATAAACTGCACGAGGAGGTCAGTGCCCTGAGTTCCCGCATTTGATGCGAGAACTTTTATTTCTGGTCTGGTACTTCGCGTCAAAAGAAAATAGGCAAAGTATGAAGGCTGATCTCAACATGAAAGCACCACACACACTCGCACATATGTATATGTTATGTTCACAAATCTTTCTTTCCCTGTTGAAAACTCAGAGAAAATATTCATTTTACTGCCTCCGTGAACTCTCTTCCAAGCTAGATTTTTGATGGTGATTCCCTTCATACCTCTTCCTCCTCAAGTAATGGCAGATAACCTTGACCCCAAAAGGCCTCTGAACCTTTATTTTTGTGCACGCACAAGTTCTGAGAAGTCCGCCGAGTTCAACCATGTGTTGAGGCTGTTGTGGTAGCAAATTATTATTCAATGGGTACACCTCGGAGTATTGAAAAATATGAGGTTGAGGGTAGGTGTAAATATTTTTGAAATGACTTTCTTGGGTCAGCATTTGTGACATTTAGCTATATGCCAAAAGTTGGTTGCTTCAGCAAACGTTTCAAACAGAATTTGGGGCCAAAATAATTCCTTCCACAGAAAGCGCCTATTTAAGGCTCCTGATTGAGCAACAGATGTGAGCCAAAGACCAGGAAAGGGTTGAGATTAATGACTGATTTCCTGTGATATTCGACTGCTGCTCGATGCGCTAGTTGACTTGGGATTGATTGGTTACTCTTCCTCCAACAGGTGCTTCTCGTGGATAAACCAGAAGACTTGTCGCCTTTCAAACGAGTGTCGGTCAAGAAGAAGCCATACGAGAATGACAGAGTAATTACAGTAGTTAGCATGTACAAAGGAGAATACATTTTGTGGTTGTTTTGGGTGTGCAATACTTTCTATTCCTGAACTCTTCCATGACCCCTTCCCATGACCCCTTCCCATCACCCCTTCCCAGTAGCCAAGAAGGGTACAAAGTGACAGAAGGCAACGTGCTGGAGAATTGGAGAGCAAATTTCGGTTGTTGACCGAAGCTAGGAAATGGGTCCAAACTGCAAAATCAGGTCTTTGAAATTAGATCAGAATTCCAAAATTGGAATTGTAAAAACAGTTGATAAAAGCACAAAACTTTGTGTCCAGAATGTTAAGAAACCTTCGCGAATGGGCTATTCTAGGGAAATGACTAGATATTAACCCGTGAAACCTGGTCTGCTATTTTTCTCAAGACTCTTAGAGGGTTCATGCTTGGACTCTGTTTCTGCATCAATTGAAAAAGGAAAGGAAACACAATGATAAAATTGGAAAATAAATAGCATAAATGGGTCGGATTCGAACCAGGGTCTATAGATCTGTAGTTCAAATCACTACCAACTAAGCTATCGAAGCGACGTAATGGTTTGCGTTTTTGAAATGTCTTAAATGGTGTATTGCATTGTCCCCTCTTCATGAATCATTTGTCACCCCAGCTACTGAAAAAAAGTAGCGCACCAGGTTTCACGGGCTAGTATTAAGTCGCTTCCCTATTCTAGTGTCTTCATTGACTCTTGGAAGTTTAACCTCAACGGGGTCCAATTCCTATTCAGTCGAATGTAGCTCTTGCTATGTCTTTGACGCCTTAAATGTCACTCTGTTCAATGGTCATAGGTGTAGCCAGCCCATTCCCTTGTGTCTACACTGATGTTACACTTTTTGTTTTTTTCAAAAGGCTCCTTGTCAAGGTATATTTAGGAGATGCTTGATTTTAAAATCTGTCTCTGTGATCAAACAAATGCTTCACATCACAAATGAACTTCTTCAACTGTGCTCAGGTCACGCCGATACACTGCGCGGCCATCAATCCCAACCCCAAGATCTTGGCCAAGCTGCTCTCTCTCTGCCCGGAGTACGCCATCGCCGACAGCAGAGGCCGTAAGCCCATCCACTATGCGGCTGCCTGTGAGGGAAGCGGGCCCCTCGAACTTCTCCTCGGCAGGTGAGAGAATTCAAAGGTGCACTCTTCAGACTGCTTTCTACTTCGGTGACATAGGCACGCATCTCCTGCAGCAAACAGATAGCCCAATTTGGCCCCTTTTTCCCCCAGAAGCGTTTATAAGGAATCCTCCATCCTTCTGACAAGGTTTTCTTCACATCCTAGTTCCTTCACATCGAGGCATTTTATGATGCCCCTGCACTTTTCAGGAGCCCTCAACGTTACCGCTTTTGGGAATTTGTAGAGAGCAAAGTCCTCTCAGCGTTTGCTGATCTGTGCTGTGTGGTTTTGTGTTGTAGGGGAATGAACCCTGACGAGACGGACAATAAGGCCATGACCCCACTCATGGTGGCATCTCTGTATGGACGACAGCAAAACATCGAAGTGCTGGTCAAGAAGATTGAGTCCGGTGAGTGCCTGAGGAATGGAAACTAGTCCTTCTCTGGAGAACTTTAAGCACAGGTGGCGCACCTACTCAAAAATGAATTTATGAAATCCTTCATTTGTTACTGCAGTCAGCTCTCTGATGGCGTTTCAGATGATGTATCATCGCAGATAAGATGGCATACAAGATCTGTGAATATTGAAGCATAAAACTCAAAAGTATGACTTAAAACAAAAATGTGGTGACATTGTAGAAGTGACCCTGATCAAGTGCATTCCTTTCAGGTTGCAGACACTTTAAGTTGGTGTGCATTTCTTGATGATTGTTCCCAGCTCAGACAAGCATTGTTTTCAGTAGGAACAGAGTGTCTTCTGAGTTGTAACAAGCATTGTTCTTGTTGGTATATTGTTTGGCGCTCTGACTTCTGAGATACTATGAAATATCTGATTCTTTTGCAGGAAAGACTGACGAACTTTGTGGTGTTAAGAGGAAGTCAGCCACGGCAGAGTACGCCATCCATTATGCCAGCAAAGCTGGACACGTGGTACGTACAGCTGTCCTTCTAAAATGTTTGGGAAGCAAACAGCACACTGGTTATTGAAAAAAATTAGGATCAAGTCTGTCCTGGGTAAAAAACCCCTAAAATCATAAACTTGTGGAGGAACATGAAGTTAGCGATGTTGCGATGCAGCCCTTACAAGCGCATTTCACAGTCGTTTGGGAACCAGCGAAGTACACTTGCCGCTAAAGGAGCCTCCATTGCTCGGAAATTTGCGACCACTCTTGATAAGCTCAAAGCTTGTACTACAATCAACAACATTCTGTGGAGTGTTGCTGTGATCTTATTGCCCTTTTGAGGGACACTTGATTCAGTAAGCCCCCTTTGATCCAGTCATATTCAAAGGTGAATATTGTTGCTGTTCAAGTGCCCCGCCCCAGCTGCCTCTCAAAACTCGAACATTGAAGCAATTCTAAAAAGATGCAACAGAACAAGGTTTTTGAGCAAGCATGCCTGGAGAGTCAGGAGTATTGACGTTTTGACCTCGTTGTAGGATTGTGTCAAGAGCCTAATCAAGCACGGAGCAGACACTGAGGCCATGACATCGGCGTCCACCAACAAGCTGACCCCACTCATGCTGGCTGCCCAGTGCGGCCACTTCCAGGTGGTCAAGACATTGATTGAAGCCAAAGCGATCATCGCTAAAAAAGGTAAAGGAAGGTTGCACCCTCTTTTTACTGAGACTGACCCATGCAAGGAAAAGTACATCCGAATCAGTGAGGGTCTGCATTCCAAAATGCCCAAGCTCAAAATTTCAAATCTCAAGTTTACTGGAAGGAAACTTTTCCTGCAAACCATCTCAACCCTTTACCTTGCCATTTGCAGTGAAATTCAACAGTTCAGAAGCCATTAGTTGATGTAGTTTCATGAAGTCTCATTTCAACTGTGTTTGATTTTGTGACATTTAGTCAGACAGCACATAGAAAACTAAATCGGGTTAGAGTTATTCCCGCAAGTCGTAAACAGTATACTGTTGGCAGTGACATTTCCATTCATGTACGTTGTATTTCATTTCTTCGGTGTACTATTTTAAAACAGCAAGCATTTAAACATGAATATAATAATTATAATACGAACTAACTGTCACCTGTTGGGAATAAAATACCAAAAATCCTTCCATTTTCAAGGTTTCCAAAGGAAAAGTGATATACATCATGTATTAATTTGGGGACAATTTGAATTTTCCTTCTAGACAAGATCAAGCGCACCTCTCTGATGCTGGCCTGCATGAACGGTCACTACCCAGTGGCTACTCTACTCCTGAGGAAAGGAGCTAATCCTAACGCCAAGGACTCATCAGGAAACTCTCCAGTCCACTATGCGTCTGCTTATGGCTGGTGGCACTGCCTCAAACTACTCCTCCAAGCCGGTGGGGATCCAAACACCCTCAACGACTGGAAGGTTAGTTGGGGTCGTGATGCGATCTGAAGTTTGATGCCCGGAGCAAATTTTGGTCGCTAGTTTTTAGTTCGGTTTGATAAGAGAACTTGCTTCAGCTTTTGATTACTTTTTTCCTCAACAAATATTACATGCAGCTTTTAATTTCAAATATAACCCTCACTAAAATGATGGTCAAATTTTCAACTGGTTTTTCATCAGCAACTTACAGGCAGTATGGAATTCAGTAAGACAATAAGACGTTAACATCATTCCTACACAAACATTCCATAAAAGTCAAGTGTCTATCCTTTCTGAGATGACTTCATCGTTCCCCTCAGACCCCGCCGCTGGGCGTGGCCCTGATGAAAGGCCACACAGGCTGTGCCGACCTCCTCCTGGAGCAGCCAGGCGTCAGTCTTGACTTCCGCAATGACAGTGGGGCCACCTTGGTCATGCTGACCGCCGCCAGCCCCATGACCAAGTACATGGTGGAGCAGATGAAATACCTGATTGACAAGAAAGCCAACCTGTCGCTGGTGGACATTGACAACAGAAATGCCGTGAGTCCGTTTGAAATGCAGTTTACAAGTGAAGTGCGTCGCTAGATGTTCTTGAAATGCCACTTTCCAACTCGTATGCATTTTTACAAATAATCCTCTGTTCTTTATTGGACTTGCGTGACCAGAAACATGAATATTCTCAATATTAATGCAATAGCAATTTCCTAGACAAAAAATCTTGGTTGACTGACAACAGAAAAGAAATTCGTGATTAAAGCGTTGCACCTGTTTGTCAAAAACTGGACATTGGAAATAGAAAGCTTTTAGTCACAATCGGCAGTTAGCCAGGAAAATGTGTCAGCAAATGTTGTGTTTTTTGAAGGGATGTGAACAACAGAAACAAGACAAGATCTAATACATACTTTGGCTTTCTATTTATTAAACACAGCAACGGTATTATTTGTCTTATCCTACGTTCACAACATGGTGATTAACAAATTTTGCATAATTGTCACCTCTAAGACACGCCTTCCCACTGTTCTGTTTCCAGAACACTTTCCACTAACCTTCATCAACAGTGCATTACGTTTAGAACAGCTTAGTAGAAAGTTCAGTCGGAGACATTCTTGACAATGGCGTACAGTCCTTTAACCCTAGGGACCATTGAAATCCTGCATAACCTTGTTGGGTTCAGCATGGTTAGGGTTAAGACCAGAGTGCATACGTATCTTATCTTACATACGTAATTCCTTTACTCTAGCCCGCACTCTGTTCTAAGCTGCTGTGAACCATTGATTAACCCATGTATATTTTCTACTATAGTGCATTATATGAATTTAGAAAGGCATGTTGTTCACTTTAGCCCATTGTTAATGAAAAAAAGACATCATTAGGCACAGAGAAGGTGATGTCATTTAAATTGTTACATTTTTAAGAGTGATTAGATGAAGGTTTTTTTTCCTTCTTTCCCATTACAGCTTCACTACTTGGCCGCCGGAGGGATGCCTGATCAAGGGAATGTAAGTCAGGAGAAGAAAATTGGTGTCAGGGTTTCATCTTGGATTGCATTATCTGCCCGTCCCTTTACCCATCAAAGTCAAACGCTGCCTACGCATTCCTAAACAAAAATGGTTGAAATCCATACCCCGTGATGCAGTCCGAGCCCATATTTCAATTATCCCCATCGTTTTGACAGGAAACAGGAAGATTTATTCACCAGTGTTAATCCCTTCGATACGGATGACTGCTACTACCGCCCCGTTATGTGAGGATTAGTGCATACCACACATACAGTCTATTCACCATGCAGCTGCTGGTTCAATGGGGCCTGCTGCTGGACAAAGCCCTCCATTCAGGGCATACCACAGCCCAGCAGTCGCGGTCAAAAGAATCCCGCCGTGAAGGGGTTAAAGATTTGCATAAACAATGGGGTTGTGAATGAGCAAAACGGCCGCAATAAAGTTGTTGTTGCCTGTCCTCTGAACAGGTTGATAGGTGGCTACTTGATACGCTGATGGGCACTAGCCGACCAACTTCCTCTTTTTTTGTCAGCATAACTAGTTGCTACGTTTTCTGGTAACAACGTGATAAGTGTGTCATCATGTAACTTTGGCATAGCCATAGACAGTGGCTAGATCTTCCTGACCATGCCTTTATTATTTTTTTTTAGAGATGTTAGAAGTATATTTAGTTGGTGCCAAGTATTTCCCGTTGCTGTCTTGTCAGCGAAGTATTCTGAAATTAGAACAATTCAACTCTCCCTTTTTTCCTTAGTGTTTTGAGGGAGGATAAATAGACACAAAAATAGTTTTTTCACTTTGTGGGATAGCCTGAAAGTAAAAGGTCATATGATAAGCATCCAGAACCTTTGCCTGTTGGTTGTTACATTTGGTTGTTTGGCTTGTTCTGTAATTTTCATCAGAATAATTTTTATTTTTACTGAAACTTGCCCATTTAAAGAGACACTCATGTCGGAATTTTATTTTATTTTTCTTCAATTAAGTTGCTTCCTTTCCAACTTTTAACTGAATGACTGCCACAGAATAAATTCATCAATTTTCATCTGTGTATAATGATTGCTAGTTGAAGTTCTTTTGCCACATGTTCCGGAAGTGTGCCAACAGGGGTCATCCGTCGGCCTTTATTTCACTGCATTCCAACATTGTTCAGGCCACATTCTCACTGACTCTCCGTGCATTAAACGTGTCCTCACGATCTCCGAGGAGTTCGCAGATGCTTCTGAATGGGCACTCTCTAGAAAGATCTAAGAAGGCAGTCACCCAAACGCCTGGTGTTGGTCATTTGATTCCTTGCAGGCCGCTGAGAAGGAAGCCCAGAAGAACGCCATTCTGGACGTGGCCAGGGTTCTCATGGAGAAAGGCTGCGATGCCACAGTCAAGGACAAGGCCGGCAAGACCCCTATCAACCTGGCTCTACAGCAGGTGAGGCCTTGCGCAGGTCTGCAGGGCAACTCTGTGTCACGTGTAGCTGCCCCTGCTGCATCCTGCATTGTTTGATGTAACACGAGATAAATACAGGCCACCTGTTTTTACAGCTTTGTTTCACATTCTCCGTTTTATTGCACAGAGAATTATAGAGTGCCATTTGAGGCAACGTTTTGTCAGTGTGAAAAGATAAGCGTACTACCTTAATTTGTGAGTGGATCTCACCAGAATATCACCTGTCCAATTGTCAAATCAGTGTCGATGTGTGGTGAAAGTTGGTATGTACGTAGCATGGACGCTCAAGTTTTACTTACAAAGTGACGTCAGCTTGTATATGCACAGTAATCAAATTTTATGATTATTTCAGTTTGTTGTCATTTATCGTCTGTGTTGTTTATTGCACTGGATGATAAAGGAAAGGTTAACAGTCGTTCATTTGTGATTAGTTTTGCGTTTATTTTGTTTTGGCAGACCAATTTCTGTATGGAACTGGTACAGTTGTTCTTGGACAAGGGCTGCAGTTTGTCCCTGGATGTGGGCCAGGACGGAGACAACGCCCTGCACATAATGGCAGAGCATTGCACCCACAATGACCTGGGAGTTCTGCTGCCGACCATTGCCAAAACTGTAATCTCAACTCAACTGCTTTAATACCATTCAGAGATTTTGCCAAATCATGGCATGATTTTGGCTTTGGCTTCAGATTTCCATTTTTTCCTAATGCACTAAGTCCTAGTGGTGAGAGTATGAAGCTCAGAGGGAGACCTGTTTTTCTGCAACAGAAATGTCCCATGTTTCAAAACTAATTGTCGTGCTCGAGGGGAAGTCGAGTTGGAAACAAAACCCAGATTTGGAAAAAGGTCTGGAGTGTTTTGGCTTTTATAAATTTCTAAGACTGATGTGTGGAAGCTTGCAGAAGCTATTTCGGCTAAAGTGAGGCTTTTCTTGGGCCCTGCTAACTGTTTATACCGAGGTTGACAAAACAGTAGTCCTACAACTTTCTTGAAATTTTGTAACTTGCGTGCCCCATAGTTTGTTAAATTTTGTAATTTCATTTATTGGGTTGATGGGACCTATAATACAGATAAGTCAAAAAATTGATTGAATATTCATTTTACTGCTTACATCTTAGTTCATTTTCTTAAGAAGTTCTGTATCAGGTCACTTTGACCTCAAGAGACATTCCTTGTGATATTTTGACACCTTAGATGACATGCTCACCTTTTTCCCGTCGCCATTTTCACGGAGAGGAGACTCTGCATAAGGTAGCTTCTCAGTCAGAGCTGGGATCAAGGGAGCAAAGCTGTACCCATCTGAATGGTGACACAAGGACTCATTTTGTGCCAGGGGGTTACCGTCAATTTTTTTTTTTTTTTTTCCATTCACGTCTTGACAGTTTAAAGAGCAGTCTGAAGAAGCAATGGATGTGGACGATGACTCGGCCGGGGAAGCCAGTAAGAAGAAGGTGACAACCTTACAGGAGGCAGCCAAAATGGTGGACAAGGAGGGTCGTACACCCCTTCTCAGATGCATCATCGCCAATTCAAAAGTAGGGGATTTTTCGCGTTGGCCTGTTTTATGAACAGATTTGCTAGGTTGATGGATTATGCAGGCTCTTTCAAAAGGTATCAAAAAAGGCTGATCCAAATCTGTACTTGCCTATCGTTGGTGAAGCCTGCATGCAATACTGTGCCTTTTTTTTCCTTGTGGTCCGTTGATTGTCCTGTGGAAAGCAAATTTTGGGAATGTGTTTTTTTGTGAAGTAGCGATTTTAGTCCATAGAGTAAGGTGTTACCTTGGGGCTGAACTGCAACACCAACATTAAATGGTCTTCATTGTGAGGGCTCCAGATGATCAGCAATGAAGCGCATGATAATAATAAAAACTCATCATTGGCTGTCCACCAATCAGATGCCAGGGATTTATTCAAGTGTTTATTTAAATATAATCTGTCACCCGCCACTGTGAATATTGCACCAGCAGGATGGATAAACAGGCTCACTGTGTTGCTGACACAGAAAAATCATAACAGGTGTTCAAGTCTTGAGGGTGTCAGTGGGGACCGCTTTGAATAATCTGCCAGAGTTGAAAAGTTGAGAGTCATCCAATAATTGATTTCTTTTTTCCATGTGTTTCTTTCATTGTCCCTTGTGCATTGCAGGGTAGAAAGAACTTCCAGAATGTGTTCAGCATGATGAAAGTAAGAAAATACTTCAAAAACAAATATCACCGAATATCTTTGAGTTTTTTACTTTAACAAAAATAGATGTGTGTATTATTTTGAATGAATTCATGGTTCCAAACTGACATTGGTACTTGTATCATTTGAGCACTAGATGAGACGCAGTGACAAAAGTTATTTAAACCCACACACAATACTTACTCTTTGATGTTGAAAGTCTTGACTTGGTTCATTTAAAAGCAAAGATGGAAATTACCATTTAATTATGTGAACACAAGTTCAGGTACATGTATGGTTTCGATTCTGTGAGGGTTTTTTGAAATGAAATATCTTAATTATTGATGGTGAGATCCTTCACGATGTAAGAGTTTTTTACATGGAGGAGAAATGTAAATAGTTTTGAGCGCACATATACCGTAAAAGTGCAGTACCTAGTTTAAGACACATTGTTTACGTTCCCTTGACTCTCAAAATTCAGGGTTTTATTCCGTCTTTTGTTGATTACCGCAGAGATGTGGTTCATTTGAACCGTTTGAATTCTCTGACTATTTTTTACAATCTTTTGTTGTGCATTTTGCCTATAATTTAAGGCTCTTATTGAGGTTGCCAAGTCCGACGTCAACGCTGTTGTGGACAGTAAGGACAAGTCTGGCAGCAGGCAGTATGGTAAGATCCTTTTGCAGCTAGTCGGACCTGATAGATAGTCTAGGAACTGGGCCTTTGCAAGATCTTTGCAAGCTATCTGTGCCGAGTCGTTATCTAGTCAGTTACAAGTCGATCACAAGTCAAGTTACTACTGAAGCGTTAAGTAAAGTTCTTAACGTTACATGGATTATTGGCAACCAAGTAGCACCTGTGTGTAGGTGGATTTTAACCACGAGCCAAAGGTATTATTTCACAAGGAAGTGTCCCAGGTATGGTATTATTTTTGGCCAAACCGCCGACTTTAAAATGACAAAATACCACACCCACAATCTTTAATAAATATCCCACTTTCCATATGGTAACCCTTGCTGGTCATTTGAGACATTTTCTCTGTGGCTTTTTGGAAACTCCGAGACAGCGTTGCGGAAAGATATTTATTGCAACACCCAACCATGGCTCAGGGCTGCTTGAGGGGCAATTCTGTGCCTGTGTACGAACTCACTGGGATTCACTCGAGTGGAGACAGTTATAAACATCTCCTGGTAGTGTTTACAGAATCTGTGTTGAAATATTCACTGAATACAGGAAATCCTCGTGTTTGTAAGGAAGTAACACAAACAAATGTTCGCAGCTAATGAAAAAGCTCAGGGCTTGACTTAAGATCACGTGACTTTCGATTCACTTTTCGTTAGCTTTTGTAACATGATAGCAACTCTGCCTCCTAACCAGTACATTTCATTTTGGGGCTTGTGGCCTTCCCCCCACCACTACAGAGGGCACCAGTTCACTTCACCAGTTTTCCGTTGCCAAGAAGAAGTGGGCCAAACCACACTCCGTCCCCACCACTACTGCAGAGGGCGCCAGTTCACTTCACCTGTTGTCCGTTGCCAACAACGTGCCAGGCCTGACCATCCTCCTGAAGGCCAAACCTCAGCTGGACCTACTGGACAAAGGCGGTTTCACACCCCTGCAGCGGGCCATACTCCACAAGAGGCAAGACAGCTCCAAGCTGCTGGTAGGTAAAAACTCAGTGTAAGGCACTCCTTGCCTGCCGAGAACCAGCCAGATTGAGAGCATTTCACAATGTTAACAAGCAAGCACTCATCCAGAAAGCATCCTTTACCTACCGTTCAACATCTTGCACATGCTCCATACTAAGATGTATGGCTGCAGGTACGAACAGACATTGTGGCCCCATTTTAGTAATCCCAAACCCAGGTGCTTTCTTGTCACACAGAAAGACTCTCATGGTTTGTCCTGGACTCTAAAGCCACCCGGTGCTCACGGGCGTGTCATGGGGAGCAAGTGGGAACGTGCTCCTCTGGGAAAAAAATTGCTAAATAAAAAAGGGTAAACATGAAAAGAAGAAGAAACAGAAACAAAAAGGAAAAAGGGATGAGAATGAAAATTTTGCTTGAAAATACTTTAGTATTACCTTCCTTCCACATTTAATGATTTGTCCGTTTACTGCTAAAGAGTACGTTTCCACTCCCTCCCTGGAAAAAATTTCTTGTGACGCCCTCCACGGTGACTGAAACTGCGCATTTTGAGCCAAGTCTGTTTCTCCACGTTCACAGATTGAAGCTGGAGCCAACGTGAACCTGTTCACAGCAGATCAGCGTGGAGATAAGGCAACACCCCTCATACTTGCCGCTAGGTAAGTTTCCTCGATCATCGTTTAGTCTTTCCCCGAGACCTTAGTGCTAGATGGCAGGTCATGCAGAATGGGCCCTTTTGTGTGCTGTTTAGCTAGTCCAAAACCATGGAAGGGTGCGCTACAGAAATAATCACTGACGCCTGGAACTGAGACTGACATCCTCACAGACACACGACGGCATGAAGTTTCCACAAGTTTTTCCTTGGCAATTACCCAAATCTGCTATTAACCACTGTTTGCTGAGTATAGGTTGAACATGTAAAAGGCAAAATGGAACCCGAAAACTGATTTTAAAGGGGCTTGGTTATGCAGTCTTGTTGTGCTCTTCAGGAAATTTCATGCTGCAGACAAACCATCGAGCCGAACCAAAAATCATTGAACACAGCAATTTCAAACCAAACTAAACTTGATTAAAAGCCAACACACCATGAAAAATAGATACAAGTTTGACACCACAAACCTTGGCACACGTGCGTGTTCAGACATACGATGGCCCTGCATCACACAATGGTTGTAAAACGCACGTGGTTAGAATTCACTAACAATCAACAGAAAAAATGTAACATACGGCATTTCTGCAACATCATATATGTCAATCTTCAAACGCTGCGCCTTGACGTTCCATATTAGGCCAATGATGTCATAAATAGCCGTATAAGACGATGTTTGATTAGTTGCATGTTGATTGTAGTCGGACTTGTGCTCGATCTTAAGGCAACCAAGGAGAAAAGCTGATTTCGCCAGGCAGACCAGCACTTAAGCGCACAACCCGACTTGATGAGCGAGGTGGCCAATAAACTTGTCTTTCGTTTGGTTAAGTTGTTGTATGTTTACATTGTGACAGAATTTTCAAGATTCTGAGTAGTTGTTCCAAAATCTCAAATAACAAAATGTCGGAATCCGTTAAAAAACAAATGCTGATGGAAAATCGGCCCTTTGGCCATGTGCATGTACATGCATATGTGTGTGCGTACCTGGGTGTACACGTCTGACACCGAACCGAACCAAACCTTGGCACTTGAAGCACTGGTAAATTTCCACCTCTTCTTTGTTGAGAGGCAGAATCCTTGTGTCTGTTTTATTTTAAATCATAAAATTTCCTGTCAACTTCAAATGATGTTGTCTGAATGACAGTATGACTTAATGAGATATCGATGATGAATTCTGAACACTTACCCCACAATCTCCTTCCCATGTTGGAATTCCCAAGTTCTAAAGAGGATTTTGTAAAAAGGAGTTGCGTCATGACTGCATGATTTGCTGATCATAATTGTTACGAACTACTGGTGTGTAATGTCCATACTTGAATCATATCCAAACACTTTCTTTGAAAATTATGGTTTAATGCTGAATAAGTGTAGAAGGTTATGGATTTACGGTAATCTATAACATTAAACAATGGTGTAACCCAATGTTAGTATCTTTACCCTCATCCTACTGAAAAGGAAATCTCATGGGGCTCTCCTCAAAACCTGCAATAGTATATTAAATGGAATCTTGGCATTTATGACATATTTACAGGTAGTTTTCAGTTTTCGGCATGGCCCACGAGGGCGATGACTGCCACAACGCACAAAGCTATTAAAACAAATAAAGCGACAGAAGCCAAACATAAAGCGTTTTTTTCTTGTGGACAATGGCGTACTGATCAGGCAAATAAGCCTGATTGTCATAGGGAAAAACGTAGGCCAGTACAATCATGCTCCCAATCTGTCAAAGTTCTTTTACGTTGGCCTAACGTACTGCATGTCTGTACATCGTTGGCGTGAGTGGAGAAGAGACAAACAGAAGACAAGTCTACACCGTCCAGAGCCCAATCAATCAAATCTAAAATTAAGTACATGTATCTGAATATAATCTTCTCACATAATATTAATCCGCCGAAAAAGTCTCCAAGCTGGCTGGTGCGTCAATGGGGTCAAACATACTTGCAAGCATGGTTACCGTGTTCCTTGGGGTCTTATATGTAAGTCAGTGCAGTTTTTGGGACAGGGAACAGACTATCTGAAAAAGCGGAGATTGCATGCTCACGGGAAAATCCCAACTTAATGGCTGTGTAATGTGTGATGGCATTGTTTTATGGTGAAAGAACGAAACTACGAGCGTGTTTGAATCCGAACGAAAACTTGAACCATAAACGTACTAATCCCCATGTTGACACAATAAATCATATTTTGAAACGTCAGTAACAATTGTAAAACAAACTTGACAAAACAGGGATTGCATTCTGCGACCGCATCGTGCCTGCTGTTCAGGAAAACCGGTGGTCTCGTTGTTGGTGGGATATGCTCGCTGACTGTTTTCGGACGACTTATCTAAGGCAGTCTAGTGGCAGCGTGTACAAGAAATTTTGCTAGCTCGTACAAACGGTGACTTTGGTGACGATCAAGGATCAATGAATTTTGTTTCCTCGCAGCAATGAGAAATATATTACTGCTATAATATCTATCTTTGGTACTAACTAAAACCATTCCTTTCATAGTCAATTGCAGGCCAAAAGTGGCCTGGTAGTGATTTTTTTCCCGAGCCGGGAATCCACGGAATATCGGGCATATTCATGAGACTGGTAATTTACATAAGCCTTGCACATTGCGTCGGTCCACGGGCGTGCCCGGTTGTCATGGGGTCTTTTGTTTGGCGGGGACTAGCGTGCTCTCCGTGATCCCGCGGGATGTCTGCGGTGCGGAATGGTTTGTCAATTTTGCGATGCCGCCTTATTATTATTAGTGGGAAGTTTTCCAACTGGGTTCTTGCACAAGCCTGGTGCACACTCGAAGACCATACGTTTCTACATAAATCTGTTATGCGCACTCAGCACACCCTGCACCGAGCACATATAAACGTGCATGCCTCCAAGGGACTGTTATTTCCATGTAAAAACATGCCCTCTCTTGTTACTGCTCCGAGCTCCTTAAGTGGTCCAGATAACACCATTTTTAATTTACAATGTAGCCCGATATTCCTCATGAGGGCAGAGTAGGTTACAATATTTGTATTGTTGTTTTTTGCTTCACAGGGCCCGCTTGCATGACATTATTCCCATCTTGGTGGCCAAGGGAGCAGACGTCTCGGCCAAAGACAGCAAAATGATGACAGCTCTGCACTACATTACTATGGCAGGAGATGGTACAAATATACGTTACTTTTAATATTGAAAGTTCCAGTCCTACACTGCGTAGTCAAACTTAAAAGACAGTAATCTTTTCTACTTTGTTGAAAAAACATGCACATACACCCAAGGTCTGATTTCTTTGAGCCACCATAAGGCAGAGAAATGTTATTCAGCGGGTTTACTCGCCAAGTTTTAATTACGGGTTCTGCAAAAGTCAGCTGGGAATCGCTCACAAGTGACATAGATTGCATTGCATGCGTTTAGTCAGTAACCCAGTTTTGCTATTAAGCAAGTTTGCATTCCGTACATAGCAAATCTCAGTTTTGAGCAGCAGTGTGAAATTAAATCCAGGTTGAAGATGCCGGCTATCTGCAGCCACTTTGGTCTTTTCAACATTGGTCACTTTGGCAGTGGTCACAATAGTGTCACTCATAAATGAAAGCCAACTGGATTCATTTTGTCGGGGCAGATTCCAACAAGGCCATGCATACTGCCAGCGTCCTCCTCCTGGCGGGGGCCAGTGTCAACACCCCTGACGCCAAGCACCGCACACCCCTCCACTACTCGGTCAACGCAGACACGGGCAGCGCCGATACCACCACTGATGTGACTGAGTTCCTGATCGAGAAGAAAGCCAACGTCTTTGTCAAGGACATTCGCGGAAGACTGCCTCTTCACTATGCATTCGTTAAAATGAAAAAGTAAGATCAATCACATGGATCAATATCCTAAGGAGTGTTGGTACTTGTCTCTGTCCTAACTTCAGCAGGTTTTTTTTTACCAGTACTTTCACAGCAGCGTATTAACATTTGAAATTTCAATTCTAGTTGAAAGTACGGCATAGATAGCCAAACATTTTCCCAGAATTCAGCATTCAAAGAATTCAAATTTCTCACCTAAATTTGGAAGCCATATTTCACTCCAAATTTTGAACCAACCCAAACACTTTTAGCTAAAATTGTCCGTTTAAATGCAGAGCCAAAACTTCAGCAGAAAATTTGGAACCTGAATCAAAGTTTGACACAAGACAAGGAACAGTCTCTATGCACATTGTTAGGTTAAGGTATTAAAAGAAAATCCAACCAACCTTTCTTTTGATTCTTTAAATGTATATTCTTTGACCTTGTATAAACTATGTTGTTTTGATTCGTGCTGGTGTAGGCACAGGGATAGTACTCAGACAGACCCCATCGAGATTGTGATGGTGCTCCTGGAAGCCATGAAGGGACAGCAGGTGGACACCCAGGACAAGTTTGGGCAGACTCCCCTGCACTGGGCCGCCTACAGGGGGGCCACCATCTCGGCCATGAACATCGCTGAGGTATTTCAAGATTGCATCCCCTGAAATATCCCTCTCGTGTCGAGGACAGTCTCCACGATTGAATACTTTAATATTTTTTACTGTTTTTGATCAGGGTCACTGTTGAAGTTTTGCCCATGAGTTCATGATATGATTTAACAGGCATCTTGCACTCAGTGCTGTTTTAGAGGATTTTTATGAAGGAAAATTCACAAGTGTCGTTGTTGTCATTTCTAGCAGGTTTAGTAAACTTTCTTATGCTTTTCAGCCTAGACATTTTGTCACATTTTTCCAGTAGGAAAGGTTATTGGTCCCTTTGTTTCTAAAAGGCATTCTGTCGAACTTAATGCTTAAGTTTCATAACATTAGTGTTTGTATGACTTCAAGACATCGGTTGAAAAGTTCCTTGAGGCTTGGCAAGATAAGAAATGCATTGGTAAGATGTAGAAAATGTGGGACGGTTCCCCCCTCTCCCAGCTCCTTCAGCAACGAGTGAGACTCAAAACCCACCAACTGATACCATCCAGGAACGAGCCAATTGTAGGTCCAGTCTGCTGGGTAGTATTACATCGCTAGGCCCCCCCCCACCATGCCCTTACTTCCCACGTGTCCTCTAGTGTGTAGTAAGGATGAGGAGTGTTGGTCTCCGCTGGTATATCTGAGCGCAAGTACAAGGATGGCCTCAGATTTCAAACAGCATTTCATCTGTGACCCTTTATGAAATAAATTGGAGCAGCGAAACAAAGTGAAATCCTCCCTTTGTGCTGTTTGGTACAGAGAATCAAGGACTTCAACGTCAAAGACAACAACGGCAACACGCCTCTGGCTATGGCTGCCCTAGGCGGCAATGACAGGTGAGTTCAGCCTCCAAACCAACTTCAGAAAAGGTCTCTGATTAGAAGTTCCTTTATTCTTGATATTACATTACTTTGGAGTGCTCCAAGCCTACCTTCAAGCCATTGAAGCGAGTCCTCAAAACACACCTATTTGGCAGATTCCCCTTTTGGGGGGGGGGGCTTTTTTTTTCATTTAAATGGTATATGTTATTTGGCATATCTTGCAAAATTGCAAAAATGGCAGCAAGAAAAATATATGAAGTGATCTTGCAAATGTGCATTGTTGATTGCATTAAACATCAGAGAATGCAACAGGCTGACTGAAAGTTCAGATGGAAGATGCCACCTCAAACCCCCCCCCCAAAAAATAACTTTTTAAGACGAGTGACGACCTCATGCGGTGATGGAAAATGGTATAAAGTGCAATGTTTTACATTAGCACACGACACATAGGCGCGTCTGTCAATGAATATCCACCATAGCAAAAGTACTCGCCAAAGAATTGATGACGTGACAAGGAAGTGCAGCATCAACCGTGCCCGTCCATCTGTGATGTCATGCCTAGCAAGCCCTCTGATCAGAACGTCCTCTGTGAACAGTATCTGGAGAAAATTGCTCAGGTTTCTAATCACGATGTTTCATTGCCCTAAACATGCACTGTGTCCAATCTCATATACGGCCCCATTGAAAACAACCGTTTGATTTCTGGATCATGTGGAACTCCTCCATTCCTTACTGCGGCAATGGGCCCTCTGGGTCCATCAGTCATGCTTGACCAAGAGACTCATTAAAATTTGCTCGCTTCCTCAGTGTGGCCATCATGCTGATCCAGAAGGGGGCCAGCATCAACACCATGGTCACCTACGTGCCCAAGGAGCTGGAGGAGAAGAAGAGCGGGGAGCCCCAGCCCTACACCTGGCAGTGGAAGCCCCTGGTCAAGCCCCCGCTGGCCCCCGTCAAGGCCTCCTTCTTCCAGGCGGTGGTGAGCGAGGGCTGGCAAGGGGTGGTCTACCTCATGATGGACCGACTCCAGAAGTTTGGCCTGTCCTACATCAACGTCATCCAGGTGTGTTTGCCGAGGCTCGCCGAGAGAAAGCACCTCTGCTAATTTACAGCAGATCTAGTATTCAAACTTTTTGGGGGGGGGAGGGCAGAAATTAATTTTTTTTAGGGGGTCGGTTTCTTCTGTTCAATTTTAGTTAGTCAAAATGTGGAACTTTTTTAGAAGTTTCTTGATGAAAGGAAGGTAAAATTACTGGAAATCCTTTTTCTCCCTCTCTTTCTCTCACTCTTCCCCTTTTTCGTGGAGGGAAGGGGCAGTGGCCCCCCGGAACTGGCCGCACTGCTGAAAATGACCAATTTGCATTGACTGAAACATAAGCCCACAGACGTTTCACAGAACTATTAAGTCCTCACTCATAAGTGATGTTCTCTCATGATGTAACTGCAGACTTTCCATCTAGCTTGCAGAGCTTCAAATCTTACTTCAATTTACATTTTATCAATTTGTGACGAGTCAGTAGGACTTCTAAATGATTTCATATGCCCGATCAGTGTTTTCATCCTGTTTTCCTCGGAAATTTCTAAAACTGTGGAATTTACACGATAAGTTGAAATCAGATGGGTCTGGTCTGAAGTAAAAACAATATAAGCTTCAAACATTTTCGTGCTCACAATTTTCTTACGGCAGGCTATCCTGGAGGCGCAGAAATTCCAGCTAGCCAGCACGATGGTCCGTAAGCAGCGAGACGCTCAGAAACTCCAACAGACCAATCGTAGGGCCCGTAGCTTACTCCACCTGCTGTCCATGCATGCCGTGTCACCTAATTGGGCAAACCTCTATGAGCAGGTACACGGCCCATGGCCCTTTCATGTGTTCACCTCTTTATATTCTAAGTTCCTATTTGACATTTTGTGATTTTTAGAATGAGTTGCTTTTTTATTCCTCTTTAGGTGTTTATTTGCTGTAATTTGAATCTAATGAACAAAAATATAACCTGTCTTGGGCTTCATCCTGAGGTATTTTTGGTGTCCACACCTCAGCTCTGTACCATTGAAGATGTCTGACAGTGGAATTGTTGCGAGATGACACTATCTTAATAGGCTTCGGAGAGGGAAGCATGCTCATGCGAGGCACACCTGTGAGGGCGTATGCTGTATGCATGCATACATTGTACACCACCTGTGCCCTGCCTGATCTGACCAGGTGGTTTATTGTGGTGATCCCAGCTGAACTTGTGTATATATTTGAATACCTTGTCAACGTGCAGTGAAGTTTCAGGAAGTGAACTTTCCAAAAATACTGTTTGTGCATTGTTACCATCCATCCTTTAAGAGTCATCCGTTTTTCTTTTGCTTTTATGAGGTTTGCAACCATGTAGCAGTTTCATAACAATTCAGCACTGATACCTCATGTTTTCCACCAGATTGCCACTTCTTTGTTTAACCGAGGAGGGAAGCTGTTTGCCAGGGACGACAAGGGCTGCACCCCACTCCACTATGTGGCCGCCAACCAGAATGCTGCTCTCTGCAAGCTCTTTGCTGGTACACGCTCCATACATAGTTTCATTTATCCTTGTAATCTTTGGCCTTGCCGTTTGAAATGAACTCTTAAAGCTGAGCGTTCCCCTCTTTCACGGTTGGTTCTTCCCTGGTATCCATCCGTGCGTGAATACAGATAGTTGGGCTGGTGCATTTGTCACTGAAGTGCCATCTTCACAGCATTTGATGCTTCGGTGAACAATTCATGGAACAGTTAGAATCCCAGTGATTCACTGGTACCCCTGGACACCGGTGATCCCATTTCCTTAAGCTTAACTCAGGGTGGATTGTTTTTGCCACATGCCCTGAGGGTCATTAGTTCCACAATGGGTCTTAGCAGGAAGCCACCCATAGTGCTTTGCAGTTTTTGCATTTCCTTCACAAAAGAAATCTGAAAAGGATCCAATGAGGTGATAGATTTGAGTAGATTCCAGTGAGTAAATAGTGACTAGTTTGATATGCAGGTGTTGAAGGGAAATCTGTGTTATGTTTTGCTTTGTATTCAAAAGAAGCGTTTTCTTGTTTGTGTTCAGAGAAAGACCCCAATGGGTTCAAGAATTGCCTCAACTGTTCTGACCATAGAGGGCGCACTCCTCTAGCAGCCGTCTTCTGGAATCTGAATTTTGATGCGTCCACCAAGGAAGTTATCAGGTTCGTCTGGTTTGGCACAGAATGTTTGTTCACTTAAACTCGCCATCTGACCTAAGGATGATGAACAACTCATGATTGATTCTTGGTATTTTTAATGTATTTTTGTCCATTGTACAAGTTACCCTGGGGGTGACAAAATGGCAGATAAAGTAAACCAACAATTGTAATTGTAAATCTGCACAAATGTTTGGTTTATTTCTGGATACTTCAATTTCCAAAGGCAAGGAAAGAATGACTGATGATTGCTTTTCACTGTTCCCAACCCCAACATCAGACAAAAATGGTGGCGGTTAGTTTCTGTGTTTAACTAAATCATGTGTTTTCTTTCTTGAATATGGTGCTGTTTTCCAGACTTTTCACCAAATCAGGACCCAGCCTCAACTTCTGCGCTGCGCTGCCCAACGTGGAGTCGGGCTGGCTGAAGCATAAGAAGCCGGCCGAGAGTCTTGAGGCCTGGTACCATGGCCACTCGGACCGGTCGGTACCCCGTAGCCCACTTCTCATTCACATGCATGTGGACAACTTTGAGGCTTGCAAGTTCTTGCTGAAGAACGGAGCCAGCTGCAACTATGCCGACGAGAACCGCCTGACGCCGCTCATGCATGCTGTCAAACTGGTAAGCAGGGCTGGTCCACCTCGTATCATCACCAAACCTTAACCGGTGTTTTTTTTTTACTTCGCTCTGTGTCATCCTTGCCAGGATAGCCAGTGCTCTTATCTTGTCACTGTTAAGAGGTACTATAAGTTTTGAGAGATCCATTAACCACTTCGCACCGGGGGCATTTATAAATGTTGATTCTGCTGGGTCGGGATATTTTTCATTTTTTTCAGTTTTCAAAATTCCTTAATTAAAAATTCATATCTTCATTTACAAGACGCTTACATCCATACGAAGGATTGTCTGGTGGCTACTCTAATCTGAATGAAAATATCTATTGACACCGGAGTATTTCAGTCAGGCCTGGAGCCTTGTAAAAAGAGCCCAGATTGTGCGATGTTACGTAATTTTCTTTTGTCCCCGAACCTGCCACAGTGCGCGACTGACATCTTTTCAGTAGAGCATGATAGTTGACCCCTGATGGCGTGCTTCCGGGACCCTTGGATAGGAAGAATAACATGCAAAGATTTTAGAATTTGTAATATTTTTTCGTTCAGTTACTTCTTAAAAAATGCAACCCGGAAAAGGGGCTTTGGAAATATTTGCTAGTATATCGATTTATAGAAACTGAAAAATCACCTGACCTAAAAGAGAAATATCCTGCCAAAAATTGACCTGTCACTTCCGAAAATTTAAAATACATGCAGAACAGTGCAATGCGACAGTCTCATATACAGATGAATATTCACAGTTTGAAATTTTATGGTTGTCCGTCGGTAAAAACAGAAAAAAAAGAACAAAATATTTCACACAGTCTTATAATAAGTAGTAAACTTAAAGCAATATTCTACTTCAATTACAAAAGATTCTAATCTTTTATCTAACCTTTGCTGACACCAAGTGTGTGATGTCAACTAAACGGAATCTGGAACCTATTGACTGCAAGGAGGTAAATCTTTGCAACATTGTACAATCTCGTTTTCACGTAAGCACGAGCAGCGAAAACAAACGTGTATGAACATGGAGACCTACCGGTAGGTACGATATCGCCGGAAGTGAAAGGTCATTTAGAAAATTTGTGTTTTACTTATCTCGATGTAATTTTCCTAAATATTGCTTGAGGAAGACAAAGGTAAAATTCCAACATGAGTGTTGCATGGCCTGGTTTCAGTTAGGAATTATTCGTCCAAAAATTATCGAACGTGATGGGACGGCTCAATGTAAAATTCCCATAGGGGGACCGCACGAGGGTTCCGGAAGCTCCCTGCGTGACCTTTTACTCTCCGGCTCTATAGGGGCCAGATTAGCGTGCAGCGGTACTGTGTGGCTCATCGCTGCAGTGGTGGAGTGCTTTTGTCCTGGTAGTAATCCCCTCGCGCTGAATGCCAAAAACGGTATCAAAACAAGGCAGGATTATCTCCACTATTGAGAGTGAAAAAATGTTTGGTAATTCCCAGCAGCCTGGTCTTTTGCTACGAGTAGGGGCTTTTGTTACAGAGCCCAGTTTTCTTTGTCCTATTTCGAAGACCCCAGAAGATTATGTGTCCGAAACCGGGCTCCCCGGCAACAAGTGGTTAAATTTGTCTGCAAGGCTTCCGTGACTGTCGGGTCCCAGCAATAGGGTCTGTTTTTTTCCATGTGACAGCTGCATGTTTGTCTGCAAATGGCAGATATAACTATGGCCAGCCATCAGTACAAGAAGTGACAGAATCCACTTGAGAAATCTCAAACAGCCATCAAAACATTAAACATGTTCACTCAATACTAGAAAGTACAATCCGTTTTAAAAGTAACAGGGCAACTGTTCATCTTCAAGTAAAATCTGAAACCGACTATGCTGCCCATATGCTTGCAAAGCACTTGCGAAGCAACAGTGGGTTAACAGCTGAAGGCGCAGGCAGTCTGTGATTCTCAGGACAGATGCTCCACTGATGCTTGCCTAGCAGGGGAATTTGCTGAGCATAATTTTCTGCTTCACAGCCCTCAGAACTTACCCTTTGAGGTCATAAATTTTTAGTTTATCGGTTTGTAAAAGCAATGTTGTCTTTACTCTTCTCGCTGTTTCAGAATGAAATAGATTTGGTGAAGCTCCTTCTGGACCATGACTTTGACCCCGATGAAGCAAGCAAGAGAGCCAAACCCAAGGGGCCGGAAACTCTCTCAGCGTGGGCCACCAACATCTGGGAGCAGAAAAGTAATATAGCCGAGCAGCTAAGCATAGAAAAATCATTTCTGGGGCATAGGCTGGTGCCCTGCCATTTCATTGAGGGCAGGTGACTATGCAAAAATAGAGTATGATGCACGCATCCACTTTCAATCAGAAATTTCAAATTGAATCGTGTGGTTTGCAATCTACAAAGAAGAGCTGGTGTCTTCGGGTCAAATTTTTCATGAATATTGATATTAACTACTGGAAAATTAGAAAATCAGCAAAATAGGTTCAGAGAATTTTGACTGATTATAAAAACGGGAGGAATTCCTCCCATTTTATAGTCTGGTCTAGAGACCAGACTATACTCAGGCATAAACAAGCCATCAGCCAAAATGCCATGAGTATGGTCTCTGACTGTTTCTCAGCTGAGTGTTGCTTTGCGCGCACACTTACTGAAGGAGTGCACTCTGGTCCATTAAACTGAGCGTCTTGATTTGGAAAGGAAAGATACTCCACTTCTCCAAAGATCAAACCCAACGAACCAAAATACCAGCTTAGTTTGTACCGTGTTTGTTGAGTTTTTGTGTGTGTGTGTGTGTGTGGTATTGCCTGAATTCTGGACTTTTCCCAAATAGCGTGGCTGTCCCAATTGCTGGCCGTGTCAATTTGTACACAGCACATTGGCACTAATGACGTGTATTACAACCTTTTCTAGTGCCCGTGGAGTATCAGGCAGAAACTTCACAACCAGCATACATGCTAGCTCTAGCATCTGCAACAGAGGGTTGTATTTAATCGTAGAACCTGAAATACATACTGAATTGGTCGTTGGTAAGGACCCCTGAGTTTAAAAATGTGAAATACTGTGAGGCGTATGATATTCCGTCATCACTTTCTGTCATCGCTCATCAGTGCAATCAGATCCTGAGGAATGGTTTCAGCCTTGCCTTGTTCTGCCATATCTCCTCACAGAGTCGAGTCTCACCCAGAAAGAAGAGACAGGAGGCATCGAGACAGAAGATTATGATCCTGTCCAAGATGAGGACGAGGAAGATGAAGAAAATCCCGAAGATGAAGACGAAGACCCTGAGGAAGTCAAAGTCAGTCTTTTCCCGGGGAAAGTTAAGAAGCCGAATTCGTTGTCTAGAGGTAGGTCTAGGTCCTTGTGCCATTAGAAATGTGCGGAGATGCACTGACATTAGACATAGCCGTAGCTCTTAAGTAACTGCTGTTAACCCCCCAGAGGCTGGTGGACGTAATCCTGAGTTGCTGTTAACTTGTGAAGCATTTTTGTTGGCAGTTTTGTAGCAGAGTCTACGCCCAAGTCTGGGCATGGATCCATTCACAAGTTCTGTCACAAGACCACTCGTAGGTAGCAAGGGGAACAAAGACGAAGAAACACAAGAATCTTTTCAGTGGCCTTGTGACCTGGCTTGAGACTGGAAAATTTGTTGTGGACGTGTGATTGGACGCATGATGGACTCAACTACAAGGCAGGGCAGTTATGAAGCAAAGCTTTGTTTAGTGCTTGGGTGGAAAAGTCCATCTATTGAATGTCTCCCTGTTCATGCACATTTGTTTTCACTCCCTGTGCTTACGTGAAAACGCGATTGTAAAACATTGCAAAGATTTACCTCCCCGTAGTCGATGGGTTCCACGTTCAGTAAAGGTTAAATGGAATATGAGAATCTTTTGTAAAGGTAGATTATTGCTTTAACTTTATCACCTTATAAATGAAAAAGGGTTTGAGATATTTTGATCTATTTTTATTTCGGCTTTTACTGAGACACTAGTAAGACTATAATAAAATTTCAAAAGGTAAATATGGGACACGTCGTCTTCGGGGTTCAGAGTGTTTGGGTGGTGTTCATTTGCAATGATAGCATGCTGCTTCCATAAACTTTTCACTGTGCTGCTTGCCGTTCAGCCCAGGAGGCCAAGCCGAAATTCGTCAAGACCAGTGACCTGGACGTGAATGCAGCAGACCTGTTGGGCCGCACTGCCATCCACTACGTGGCGAAGGCCTGCACCTACGGCACCTGGGAGAACGTCAAGCTGCTGGAGCTCCTGGCCCAGCAGGGCGCCCGGACCACGGGCCAGGACAAGCAGGGCAAGACGCCCCTGGACTACGCCCTGGAGACGCGGTCAGGAAGGGTGGCTGATGTCTTGCAGCGATTACAGGGAGTGGAAGAAGCCAAATGGGTAAGTATACCCCGCCTTCACCGCCAGCGGAAGATGTTAGCCCCCCATGCCCACACCCCCACCCCAAAAAATTCCCCTATTCTCCTGATCAAGATCACCCAAAATTTCAAAGGGGGGCCGTCCATAAAGGATGGGGAGATTGGCATCTTGCATTGAATTGTAAGTGTGTGTTAGAGGAGGGGGCAGGTCAGAATTGCTGCATAAGTTTACAAGTGGTGGGGGGGTCAAACGACTCAGTGTTTGATATGTAAGCACCTTATGGTTGGTCCGAAAATCTACGCCAAATTGGTAAGTACAAATCAACTGACCAGGGGTGCCAAAACTGATGGACACCAGTCTATCGATTTTTGGAGATGCATCTTGAAATCGGTCAAGGAGGCAATTCCAAGGAGAGTTGTTTTTGTAACGGACGTGCACAGTAAGCCTTTTGCAACTTAAATTTGAAAAGAATGTGGTACACTGAATTCTCTGTACTAAAGACACTGTTGCTATACCTTGTGATTCATGGCAAGGTTTTGCTTAGTTTCATAAAAGACGCCTTGCACCAACACACTGTATCCAATGGATAAGAAGGATACAAAGGAACCTGTCTATTCCAGAGAAGGTGGTCACTGTGCGAAAGCTTGCCTCAAATCACGAGGTGTAGCAACAATGTCTATAGTCTGGGGAATACAACTTTTTATATTGATGTGCAATCAGAGAACACAGTGTATCAGATTTTATTCAAATTTAACTCGCAAAAGGCTTATTAGATATATGCATTCTGTATGGTAAAATCTTTTGTTGAGTCCAGTACGTGCAAATGCACCACAAATTTGCTGCTGGAATCCTTTTTTTCAACCTGTGCCCAAACAAAGATCCTTCTGTCCCTCCCAGGTCAAGCCCAAGCCCGTGCAGCGTTCCTGGACGGACGGCATCACCTTCCCGTCACCCAAGCCCAACTTCAAAGCTGATGCCGAGGCCATGCTGAAGCAGCTGGAGGCCGAGTGGGAAACGGACACAGCTGAAGAAACGGAGGAGAAGGTCCCGACGCCGGTCGACGAGGCGTCAGGCATGACAGAAGGAGGGTAGGTTGGATTTCTCAGCTGATCAGAATTTTTCTTTACTTTTGTTGCATCCGACAAAGTGAAGCTCTAAAGATTTGAATTGCTTTGTTATTCAACCACTTGCGAAGGATATCATTTCACAACAACCTGGAACCATCAAGTATTATTTTAAGTGAAAAATCAGAAAGTTTGAAATTACGAAATGACGTGACCACTTTTCTGTAAAGTAAATGGTACACCACAAAACAGTTAACCCCAGAGGACATTTCTACTCGAGTTTTCGTATGTTTTTGCCTGTATTGCTATACACTCTGAGGCAATGCCGCAAAGTAGTGTTTGCTGCGAAAAAGAAGCTTTGGTCAGGGAACCATGCACAGTCAGCCCCCACAGACTAGTCAGATTCTCTCTATGCCGACAAAGCCATAGTAAACCCCTGAAGCCAAAGGGCAAATAGAAATCATTTGAAAGTTTGCAACTATCTACGGAACCGTCACAGGAAAATGTTCCACAATTACATGTCCACAAGCACAAAGTGTTGAAAGAGTTTTAAATAGCTTGCATGTAAAATAAATGTCATTTGCCTCTTGCTTTAACTTTTGTCATCTGAAAGCTTCCTAAAACCTACAAAAGCCAACGCTGTGCTGTTAATTGTTGTGTTAGAGCTCAGGCAGTAAAGTCACTGTAAGCAGAGCAGAGGAAAGATTTCCCTTTAACATGCCCTTATCAAATACTCCAATCAAATCCTTGAAGAAACCCTAGGGAAATCAAGAATGAAGGTTGGTGGCTACTTAGTAAGTTTTGGTACATGCCTGAGATTCCATTCAGTAGAGAGCCATCTTGTCTCATTAAGTTAGTTGGCACTGCATGTATCTTATTGGTTTCCTGTGACACAGGGTTGTTCTAACTGATGAAAACCAGGACATTCCGTACAGCGTGACACTGACTAAAGTGGATGTCAAGTACGGTGTTTATGGCATGAACAACTTCTACGTGATGCAGGTAACGTTTACCAGACTGTTTTACTTGACTGGCCTCTCTGCCGTAAAATTGCCAAACACAAGTGTAAGCAGAATGTTTGGTTTTTCCCTTTGGCAACTGAAGTTAATGGAGTTAACGGTTGTTTTTTGTACATTGCACCTGTCACGTTTTCTTTTCTAGCATAGATGCCCACATTTGTCTTAAATTGAAACACTGGGCATCTGAGTTGCTGAAATATTTAGGTTACCACTCCTGGGGGGGGGATTCCTGTCATGAGTGGTGGGCATGGGCATCACTGGGAGGGGGAAGCGCTTGCCCATCCCCGGGGGGGAACAAGAGGAGAAATAAAAAGGGGAAAAAGAAAAGTAAAAGTGAAGGACGCCAATGAGGAGGAGACAAGGGGTACAAAGTAGCCTATTTGCATGGAAGAAATCGTAATAGGCCCCTTTCTACCATTAAAGGTTTTTCACTTTGCTGCTGAGGAGTGCTTAGCACCCCTCCCCTGCTCCCTGGCCCAAATCCTGGTGACGCCCACGGCTGTGGATTTTACTGAAACCGTTACGAAGAAGTAGTACCAAGTGTGTCCATTTTGTTTCATCCGTTGTGATTTTGAGAATTGAGAATGCGTCACGCTCTCTTCCCCATCCCGTCACCCCCCCCAGATCATTCACCAGACGGGCAAGGATATGATGCTGCTGTTCACACGATGGGGTCGCATCGGCGATGAGGGACAATTCCAGAAGACCCCTTTCAACTCCAAGGAGGAGGTGATCAAGGAATTCCAGAAGATCTTCAAGGCCAAGACTGGCAATGACTGGTCCAGCGTCAGAGAGTAAGATGCTACGTGGAAGTGTTCGGCTTCATGGATGTACCTGAAGTTTCCTCTGCAAATTATTTTTGTTTCTTACCTTTTAGCATTTCTTCTAGACCAGTCTCGTGACTGGTCTTGTATCTGGTCTTGTGTTTGGTCTTGAGAATAATTTTGTGATGGGCCTAGTGTTTGGTCTTGTGTCTGGTCTTTTAGCTTGTCTTTTGTCTGGTCTTGTGTCTGATCTTGTGTCTGGTCTTGTGACTTGTCTTGTGTCTGGTCTGGGAGTTGTCTTTTAATGATCTTAACTGCAACATTACTCCCTGTGTCTATGACCAGTTTCCACAAGGAGCCCAAGAAATACCAACTGGTGAGAGAAGACCACTGGAGAGCCAAACGGAGGAAGGCCATCAAGGCGTTCACGTTCAACCTTGAGTCCTCGGTGCCTTCCAAGCTGCCATCAGCAGTGCAGGCAGCCATCAAAGAACTGGTAAAGAACTCCGGGGAAGAGAACCCCTGCAGAAAGTGTTTCTGATCAGAATGAGCTATTTTGGTATTTCAAAGAGGCAAAGACATCTGAGAACGTAACACCAGTTCGAACATGTTCAGTGCATGTTGATTGCTGTATATCGGCCGCGCTGATATAGCTGACCATGCACGTATGTGTGGTTTGATACTCCTGAATTGACCTACAATGCCATTTTCCAACTTTTTCAAAATTCCAAACTTGCTTATTGACAAAGAGTGTGAGAAGTAAAAGGTAAAGTGAGTTGTGGGAGTGCAGTATTTACTTTTGCCAAATTTTGGGGGCATAGGATTATTTGCTTTGGGTAGCACTTCATGGAACAAGGCAAGATGTCACAATGTTTAATAGCCCTCCACACTAGGTTTCTTTTTTTTTTAAGAGTTTTTCTTCTTGGACTGAGGTTAGAGAGTTACACGATCTGTTTGGCTGAATAAACAAAAATAATGTACTTTTTGTTCGTAGGCTGCATTCTGTCCCAAACTTGTTGAACCTTATCAAAGGGTACTAAGTGTTAAAAGTAACATTTCCAATCCACACTGACGGACCTAAGGTAGAACATGATACGTGTTGTCACCGTGGGCTTTAGAGAAAGAGCAGCACTTTGTTTGGCCAGTGCCTCTGTTTGCCATAAAGTGCAGTGAGTACAATCAATATATGTGATCTCGGCTTTGCTTACTCACAGGCCTGCTGAGGATACAATGTTCTAGAACCCTGTGTGATTGGTAATTTGGGGCAAGGTCTTATTGCTGTAGCCAGATGATGTCCAGTCATACCTCGTGCACTTGGTTGGTCAATAAACAGCCTTCTGTCATAAGTATTCCTGCAATCTGTTTTCATGTGGGTGATAATCTTGTCTTTGATGACAGGTCAAGCCTGAGTTGTTAACCAAAGCCTTGTCCGAGTCCGGAGTGGACACAGATCTGATCTCCCTTGGTAACTTCATCTCCAGGGATACCCTTCTCAAAGCAAAAGATATCTTAAATGAAATCAAGTAAGTGTCCCCCCCCACTCAACCCAGGGCATGTTTTAATGCCCATCATCCCACCCTGCGTCTGCTTGTGGCTGCTTGTATGTTCCTTTGGAAATGCTGCATGGCTTGAGAGGAAGCAGTGGGAATTACTGGTCCTGAGGTGGAAGTCAGTTTAACTACCTCCAGATGCGAAGTGCAGGGAGGACCTGCCATGCTGTATTTGTTTCACTCATAAAATCATTCATAACATAAAAAAGTCAAGGTCAACATACAATATGTTCCTGAGCTGCAGAGTTCTGCCTTTCTGGCAAGGACTATAGCAGACTGGTTCCGTTAGGATTACATGTCACAGATTACATGCCTATGAGGCAGGTGCCAGAGGGAAGTTTTAGTGCTACCAGAAAAAAAACTACCACACGGCAGTGAGCTAGACACTCGCCAATACTCGGTGCTACTTCCCAGAAAAATCAGCCAATGACACGCTACAATTTGCTCACGAATATTCATGAGGTGTTGTAATCTAGATTCTGGCCGTTATTTATTTGTTCGTGTATATGCGTAATATGTGCAGCCTAACTCAAGGCAGTGAAAAAACTAATATTCAGAACAATGACTACCGAGGATTAATGTTGAACATGGATAAGCATTCCACTGTGTGTAGCATGTCATGTACAGGCCTACGTAACGATGCTCAGGAGTGCTTTTGTAAGTGTGCATGTGATACGTACACCGCACTACGCGTCAGGGGAAGTCAAGCTCATAGACTGGATTGGGTTTGGGACCGGAATTCTGTGTGTGTAAAAGTCCTCTGTCTGTGGACATGCGTGCATGCTGGGAAGGCAACACAAGCACAGTCCAGGCAGTAGGCTTAAGTCTATGGCAACGCGCGAATGAGTTTTCAGGCATGCTGATGTTATGGTCTGGAACAGCGTTTGGTCCAATCCCAAACGATCTGAATTTATTTTCCCCCATTTACAGTGATTTGTTAGAGGAATATGAACAGTGTGGAGGCTATCGAGCTCCACCAACCGGTGACATGGAGAAGTACCAGGCTGCCATGGAAAAGGTAATTCTTTTTTCCAGGCATTGTTGAACCAGTAACGAGCTTATCAGGGCCGTAAGTAATCCTGGAGGACTTTAAAACGGATCGGGAAATTATTCCTTGGATGCCATCCCTGAGATGTTTTGCCCCTGGACATTCTTGGAGACTTTCCCTTCATTTTCTGCTTGGCTACTGCATGCAGATCCCTGGGGCTGTGATAAGTTCTTCAAGGTTTGGGTCCCACTCTTCATCTGTAGTGATCTTTCAGGACGGAAGCAGATTCTGAATAGTGTTCAACCAGTCGTGGACAGTGTTATTTTGAAACTTTCGAAAGCCAGATGTAAATTTTGATACTAGGGAACAAAAGCTGTTGCCTCACCATGGGCCTAGATGTTGCCATTACTTTAATGTGCAATTTTATAGTAGATGTTAATATAGCTATATACATGTAATGTCAATGTGATTATGTTATGATGTATCAGTCTTGATGACCTATGGCAGCATTGAAATAAATGTATATAAAAAATGATTTATATAAAAGAAATACACGGCTAAATGCAACAATGACTGACTCGTTAGACATATTTGAACCACATTTGGACAAGTGTTCCTAGCCCGACCTTTACAACATTCCAGGGTGCTGCTGCAGAGCAGTATTTGCTGACACAGCAGGCTGTGGGTAGAGGCCGAATTCAAGATCAACCGACGGTCTACCTCCTAGGACTTCTCAGTTATTGTGTGTGTGCAAGCCAAATGTGGGGGGTTTGGGGAGCAGTGAGTATATACATCCGCTGGTCATGACTCAGGGCATGTGTGGTAGTTTAACTCGCCGGCCATCTTGAATGTGGACTGCTACTATCGTGTTTAAACCCTCCCGCGCAAACTGGTTAGACACGACTTTTTTTAACTCCAAGAGTTCAGGTATGCCTTGATCAGTTGTCAAGAATGGCCGTTGTACTCTTCTGTCTGATCCTCTCACTGAATCTAGGCTGCCGACTTGAGCAACAGCTTTTTTGAGCTGATCCCCAGTCAGGACTTTGCCTACGACAAGATCTCTCCCCTGACGTACCTACATGAGCTGAACACTCACATGAAACGTCTGGACATTCTCCTGGATCTGTCCACCACCAACATGATCCTGCTGGGGGCACAGTATAGGGCCAAAGGTCAGTTTGAGTGTACAAACAGTCTCATGGAACAGTCTGAAAATAAAAGAAAAATCCTGCCCAATCTGTAAGTGAACCCATTCATCACAGGACGCCTCAACTACAGAGGAAGCAATTTAAACATGATATTGTTGGAAATGACATTTTACAGGAAAATACATAGATTTGCCCTGGTTGTGCCTAGGCTCAAACTCCATTTTGTGGGAAGATTTCTCATGTTGGGAAACATTTCAAGCGAGATGTGGGGAGTTTTGCATGCTCTCACATTTTTTTCTCACGAATTTATTATGCATTATCCGTGTCCCTTTTACAACTATGACCCAAGTACGTGTGCTAACGTTGGTGCACAGACTGTAGCCATCCATGTTGACTGTTCAAGGACAGGCTAAAGGCTCAAGAAAGATGACTTTTTCCCCCCCAAAAGATGGATTTTTGTTGTAACCCTGTAACGCCGGTAGATGGCGACAGCCACGGATCTGTGTGAGGATTAGTGCATACCATACATACATTCTATTCATCATGCACCTGCGGTTTCAATGTAGGCCGGCTCCTGGACAGAGCTTTGCATACTGGGCATACCACCACCCAGCAGTCACGGTCAAAAGAGTCCCGGTGTTAAGAGGTTAAAGGTTCAAAAAGTTAATCCTTTGGTAACATTTCAACCTTTGTTCATTTACAAGTTACATCACCGTGATCAGCAGGGTTCCTGTAATAAATTTCTGTTTCTTGATTCTTTTTGGAGTAGAAATCAACCCCCTGGACTACATCTACCAGTCTCTTGGCTGCCAGTTTCGTCTCATGAAGGAGGACGATCTTGAAACCCAGCTTATTCTCCAGTACATCCACAACACGAGTAAGTGGGACTGGTCAGGAAACTTTGGCTTCCCTGTCTCTGAGCGTCGGGATCATCAGAAGCCCTCAGTACCGAAAGCACAACATCGGCCGGTTTGTTTCACACTGACCCGGATCGCGATCGTTGATCCCAAAGGTGGTTCACATTATCCATTAGGCGGGTTCTGGTGTCAGAGAACCAGTCTCGGAACACTGATTGTGATTTGGATCTGTGTAAAACGAATGGGGCCTGTCTTCAGCCTTGGACACTGTGGACGAAGACGGCATTCGGTCAGTTTTCTGGCCCTTAATGTAATGACTGCACTGGTGACACATCAGTTGGCAATATCTTGTGGCTAGTGGGAAACGAAGGCCCAGTATCATGGCTTTTATTGCTATAGAATTCTGCTCTTAAGACAAATATTCTCTTCTCATAATTGAAGCAAATTCTGTGCCAAGTGAGTGAGCAGAAGCCTTAGTTACCGGATATACGCCTACGTGCAACCCAAATTCCCCCCCGCTTATCTGTGAAACATGCCGACCATAACAGCAGAATTTTCTGCTAAGGTTTGCTAAGTTGGTTGTCCACTGCACAAGTGAGCAGTGCTGTGACATCAGGCCATAGCAAATTATCCCCCCCAAAAATTGCAAACTCGGCTCATTCATGATGCTTTGTGGTAGTGCCGCAGGGTGGATGGTAAACTGGCCGGGCTTATGGCCTCTTCAAGGGCTCTGAGGGTTTCACAAACTGCTTGAATCAACCATTTGTTTCCCAGATGGCCGTAGGGAACAATATAATCCCCAGGCAGCTTAAAATAGATGGTCTTCAGGAAGTGTTACGGTCCGAATGAGCTGGAATGACAGTGCTAAGGAATCTGTAACACCAACGTCGGTGTATGGGTGGACTTGATAAATACTTTATCTTACTGTGAATTTAATTGTCATGTTATGTTGCGGTCAATTTATACAGGTGAGCGTTAGCAGAAGTCGATGCTGTAAAAAAAAGTCTTCCACAGTGGTTTCCTATGAGACTGTTAACACACAGCAAATAACAGTGAGATAAATCACTACGTTTTGAAACAGATTGTTTCCGATTTATTGCACTAAGACAGCACGTCTCAGTCGTGGTAGGAATGACATCACAGACTATCTAGAATGGTAAACGGGTCCATTTCCTGCATTTAGTCTGAGACACTGCAGAAGATTCTTAAATTCTCTATTTCTAGACCCTCGCAATTAGTCTGAAAATCTCCACAGACTTGACAAGTTTTATCTGACACCCGGCCACCAGGTAACTCTGCGGCGAATGTGGAGGCCATCTTCCGTCTGGCCCGAGAGGGGGAAGATGAGCGGCTCAACACCTGCGGCGTGGGCAATCGCAAGATGCTGTGGCACGGCAGCACCCGCTCCAACGTGATCAGCATCCTGAAGAAGGGTCTGCTCATTAGCCCACCGGAGGCAAATTTCCGCGGCAGCACGTACGGCAGGGTAGGTCTAACCCAGAGAGTTACTCGGGCCAAAGACGAAAAGGCTATTCCATTTCAAACTGGAAAGTCTTAAGCCAGTTGATGCCCCGTTTTATTTCAAGGCGGACTTGTTCCAGGTGCTGAAGTATTCTCGGTCCAAAATTCTGAGGTTTTGTAATGACGAGATACCAAAGCCTGAGTCCGCCACTAAGTTGGACTTGATGAGAGTATGCATCAACCAGTAATGCATACAAAAACCTCCTTGGCTTGTTCACAAGTCTTCCGTGTGCTGTACATCAGAATATCATTGCATTTCCACGTGTCCTCCGGCATGGCATCCGTAGAAGACGGAAGTTAAGCGCAGAAATTGTAATGATGTTGAAAACTGATGAGATGTATGTTTCACTGCTGCAGGGCATCTACTCATCCGACGCTTTTGCCAAGAGCCTCCTGTACTGTGAGGAGTATTTTGAGAAGTCGGATACGAAGTTCTTGTTCTTATGTGAGGTGAGTTTGAGCTTTAGAGAAGATGCTAGCTCTTCCATCACGGGGGATTTGGTCCCACCAAACCCTTCCCCTACCTCCGCCCACCCATCCACTCACACTCCTATCCCCGCAACCACCACTGTGAGCCATTGAAGCGTAAGTGACTCACCCAAGGGTTGTGACACGTGGCCAGTTGTTAATAAAGCCTACTTGTCCCCCTGGTCACTGGTCAGGAACCTGAGCCTAACCAAGATGTTGCTTCCCAATCTCAAGCCTGTTTGAATGAATACATAATGAGCTAGCTGTCTCGTCTGTGTCAAACCACGCTGTCCCGGTACCCCATCTTGGCAGCATGTCTCACTAAGGATGACTGCCGTTTTTTTTTCTTTTTTGTTTTCAATTTCTCCTTGATTCAACAAGGTTGCCCTTGGCAAGATGGCCACCAACCCGGAGGAGCCAGAGAAGTTAGTTAAGCAGGGCTTTGATAGTTGCATGGGACGGGGCTACCACAAGTACAAGACCAACAGAGACCTTCTCATGCCTTCAGGTGAGAGTTAGACCAAAGACTGCCAGTGCAACTTCCGAGTTGCACAGGATTGCCATCGAGTCCATGGTCTCTTCTAAGGACAGTCATTCAAAAATGTTCTGGCAGTTTGCCAGTTGGAGAACTCACATTGGGTGAAGTTTAATTATTTTGTAATATCAGGGGTGTGTCTCGTGATGTCTTTTACAGTTGCTTGTTGATTAAGTCACAAGCAATTAGTCTGAACTTGTTTAAGATGGCCTGCCAGGATACAGAACCAGAAATGATTGTGTCATCCATGAGAGACCACGTACAAGCCAGCAGATGACATTGCTGATAAACATCATATTTGGTTGTTTTTTTGCAAGCTTACTACAACTCCTGCTGTCCCTTTCCGCATCCAAGAGGAAATTACCCATTTTCAATCACTGCATGTATTGAAGTAAATTGAGGGAAACGTAATTCACATACTCTGAAGATGACACCAAAATACGTCTGCTTATCTTCGGCCATTTGGAACTCTTGCTGAACAAACTCCGATCTTTGATTCGTAGTTGGGACTGTGATATCGCACGGGCATAACCAAAGTCATGAAAAATGCCCCAACCAATGACCAAAGCAGAAACATGTTTCTGATCCCAATCACAAAATTGCACTCCAGTCCCAACATTTCTTGTAAGCAGCATAATCAGCAGAAATGCGACAATCATGCTTTGATTTTAAGAAGCATCATTCATCTGAAAAGATGGCCAATACACGTGTGGCTGTTTCTGGCATTCTACCTTCACTGTGACCCCCTCCCCTTGCCCTCTGCCCTCCTCCCATCCACCTGGATTTATCTCAGAGCCTTTACATTGAGAGAGTAGCGCTAGCTTCATATTTTAAAAACAAAATGGCTGTTTGTTACATGTAGAGTCGAGCGTGCAGTTGAATGCCAACTGTCGGTGTGCTCTGGTACAAATACATTGTACCTGCCAGTTTGTTTTAACAGTGGGGACATTTACATGTATGTCACAACCCTCTCGCTCTGTGCAGGGCTCTGGTTTATCTGATCTGAGTCAATCATAACTTTATGTTGTTTGAGTTCCGATAACAGAACAAAATGTGTTCAACCCAGCTTGATGTTTAGATACACAATATGGGTTCTATCGGAATTGGCCAACCTTAACTATCTCCTCAGGCAATCACAGCTGGGTGAGACCGGAGACTGTTTGTCATCCACTGGTCAATTGGCCAGGTACCCAGTGTCACAGTGTGGTCACTTTACAGACACTGCAACTGAAGGACTGGATGCAGGCCAGAAAAATGATTGTAATAATACATGCCTAAGTTTAGTTCAAATAAATTGGGCTCAGGAGCTGACACTGAAATAGAAAATATCTGACATTAATTGACCTGATAGAAAAATAGGAATAAAATATGGAATTAATTAATGGAGAATTCTGACACCCAGGATATATTTTGTGCACCGGCCACAGGGGAACATGCAATCAGTGGGTAAGCATTCAGCTCCCCGTCCAAGTGGTCTTGGAAATGACCATCCCAACTTAATCTGCCTTGTGTACTTGTCCATTAGGGGCCATGATGCCATTTGGCAGGTTTGTGTACAACACCTGGTCCCCCTACACCTACTTTGATTACAACGAGTACGTGGTGTTCAAGACCGAGCAGTTGGCCCTGCGCTATCTGGTCCAGTGCAGAGGAGACCGCAAGCAAGAGCAGAAGGCGGCAACAGAGGACCTGGACGACTACTCGATGCAGGAGTTCAAAGAGGGGCAAGGGGCCGAGACTGGGGACACGGACATGCCAGACGATGATGATGGTGGCAGTTACGATGGCAGTGACAATGACGAATATGATGACGATGACGATGATGGGGATGAATAAGCAGAGCAACTGCGATCCAAGCAGATTGTCCCACAATGCACCTCCCCACGGCCGTTATTTTCTCACTCGAGGAGCCTGTCAACAAAAATCTTTTTCGACTAATGGCTTGCGTGGCCTTGTTTTTTTTTTACTATTTTGAACACAAAAGCCTCCACCACATCACCAGTTATTAGACAGGTAAGGTCAGGTTGTCCGTGTACATTCAGAGTGCCTTCAACCAATACATGGTGTCATTGCGAAAGGGCGCTGTCATTGAAAATCAGAATGCATGCAACATACGCATGAATGCGATTCCTCAGGGAACGTCTCCAAAGATGGAAGGTTCCTGTTTCCAAGGAAACACTCCTTTAAATAGGGAATACTATGCCCCATTACAACGTGCTCTTTAAGAGTAGAAGTGTACACACTTACAGACCTTTATTCCCAATTGGAAACATGTTCCCATTTGGGAACATGCATTGTTGCAAAAACAGACAGCAGGTGTTCTCATTGGGACATATTATTGTAGCATTCCAACTTCCAAAGCACTCCCTAATAGTGGTCTGTCGGTTGGTCTGTGACCACATATTATTGTTGGCATCAAATCAACTAGATTCCACTGACTGACACAGGTGTTCATATTGAAGAAACAATGCAGTGTGGACCGGAGGTTGTGGCGTTTTTAAAGCATTTAAAAACTTTTTAAAGCATTGCGGACACTATAGGAGGGCGCTGTTTGAAGGGGGTAAGTTTGGAGTTAACAAGATTTTACTCCAGCCTAGTAGCGCCCTCCTATAAGGTCAGTGGGAACATGCAATTAATGGCATCGTGTACTTGTCAGCTAAAAACCTTCCCCAGTCAAAGTGAATAAATTGGTAGCATGTTCAAGCATTTCTTTTTTTTTTCAGCAAACTATTTTAGTGAAAGTGTAGGTTCTTCTTGTATTTAAAGCAGCCAGGGGCTGATGTATCTACATCAGCAGGGGAAGGGACCTGTCTTTTCCCCAGCGTCTGATTTTCTACGGACGTTGGTCTGTTGGTTGCATTCTGCCTTGTAGAGCTGATAACTGGGAACAAATCCAAGCTCATTGCTGCTGTACGCCAGGAAGGTGGCCCCTGTGATGGCCGCACCACTTTGCTGCCCCGGTGGGACAAACCAACTGGCCCTTGGCAAACATCAGCAAGCGGAGTGCCTCAGACACTCGCTGGAGGCCTTCCTCGGAGTAAAGCTGTCGTGTGCCGGGATTTGTCTGCGATATCTCCCCTTGATTTGCCCAATGTAGAAAGCTGCTGTTTGGTAATATAAGCAACACATTGAAGCGCAGTGCAGGCAACCACCATCCCACCCACACAATGTCAGGAGTGCTTTGGATGATCTGCCATCAACTCCGAAGCACCCTTAAGCATCAGGCAGACTAGATTTCCTATCAAGCCTAGTTTCTGTGTAGTCTTAAGGATCACTGGCAGCTTACACGAAGTCAAGACGCAGAACGTAGTGGAAAAGACTGTGTGTAACATTTGACAGAAAATCAGTACAAAATGGTATTCAAAGTTCCAAACATTTTCATCTGAAAAATCTTGTTAGGGTTATACCATTTCACGAAACTAAAGTGGTACTTTGATGTTTTTCATTTCTGGTCGGCTATTTTGTTGACATTGGGGGTTTCATTTCTTAGTTAATACTCGATATGCCAGGAAGACTGTTGTCGGAGGGTTGTCATGCCAGCGTCTGTGTTTGTATAGGCCTGCTCTGATAACTCCAAGCAGGTCGTCAGCAAAGTTGAAGGTGATGCAACCCTGCCGAATCTCTGTGTCTGTGGTGCATCGGTCGCGATAAAACATTTCCATATGACTGTGTACCATCGCAGACTGTTCCATGTCTGTCTGCATCTCTTTACGTTGATAGGGAAACTAGACTTAACCGAGGATGGTGTTCTGCCAGTAACTGTCACGCAGATGGCTTCACTCACAAATAGTTCTGAATCGCATCGTGGGAGAAGGTATACTCGGTCAATGTGTGTCTGTGTACACAAAAACAAAGGTTTTTAACAGCTGGGCCATTGCCATGGCCATTTTCCTGTACTCAACTTCGTCTCTGTCTCAGGTTTCGTTCCGAAAACCACTCCCCAGTTGTGGGCCTGAAGCGTTTGAATTACATAAGATTACTGTAATTTTTGGCTTTCTTGCATCTTATTTGATGTTCTGTGGCACTATTAGACTGATTACTGCGCTTTACAGCTTCAAAGTCAGCTAGTGAAAAAAAGTTGTAGCCTGAGACGGAGCGGAAGTTGAGTATTGGAGAACGGCCCATGTTTGAAAGTAAGATGGCACTCAGCGTTGTTGAAAGGTTGAGCTTTTTGCCTGAAGAGTAGTATTTGCAAAATTTATCGGAGCTTAACAGTTTCTTTTTTATTCAACTCTTGTCATTTTTAACTCCAAAACTAAATCTTGCCATGTAGTTGACTGTCCAGCAATCCAGATTGGATCTGTGTGTTTGGGACGAGTGTAGCAAAAAATGGCCGACGAACTCAAAATGTACATACCATTTTAACATTTAATAGGTTTTTACATAATCCTGTATATTTGTGTGGGTTGATTCATTGGTGTACCATTAGTTGAAGGTGGGTTTCTGCGATTGTATCAACATTCAAATTTTTTAAATTGAATGTTTAAAAAATAATGCTCGCACATTTGTAGTATCATTTAGTACGATTTTTAAAAACAGTTGTTTTGTAGTTTTTCTTTCAGTTCAAAAGCTTGATGTGCATTAATTTTGTGCTAATTTTCCTCTGTACAGTACCAGATGTATCTTTTGTAATTATACGTGTGTTTGTGGTTACCCAGAAAAATCAACCGGAGTCACTCATTACCAACATTTTACATTAGCATGTTTCAAAAGGAAGAAGTGCGTGCAGGGAGATTTTTATGTTCGAGCAAAATACCTCGTACACGAGCACACGTCATAGGTGAAGGAAGCCAGCTCTTGGCGGGGGGTTAGGGTTTAGGGCTTAAGCTCCAGTGATCACACAAAATGCCTGTCATGGGACTTGTTTTGGCCGATACGACTTTAGTCTCCGAAAGTAAACAAGATCCTATTAGCATTACTGTGTGGCCACCCCGTGGTAAAATGAAGGACGCCAAATACAGTTTAGTTCACATGTACAGAGTAGTCCCAAGCTTGAAACGGGAGTGCCAACCCCCCCCACAGCGTTCTGCGTACCTCCACATGCATACATTCGTTTATCTTCTTTTAAGATGAGTTTCCAACTACATAATTTATGTAAATAAAATCTGTGTTGGAAAATGTTTTAGACTGTAGATGTACCAACGACACTAATCATTATTCACTTCATTTCTACCTTATGTTACGCTTCACTTGTGTCTCTTGCAGTGGACAATTCTTGAGCCGGTGTGTCTGAGACTCAAAGTTTGTGCAACCGGTTTCCCATTTCTTCGATATAATTTCAACCGCTGGTTAATCGCCCGCTTGCACACACAGTCTCAAATTAATAGTTGTCAAAGAGCGTGGGAGTATTTCTATCTAGTCTGAATTTGTTTAGTGTCACTATCGAAGTTGTTCATAGTAGCCGTTTTTTTCGGTGAGAAATTTGTTCTACAGGGATAGACGTGAGTAGACCTTTTGTACTATCCCCCTATGAGTGAAATATTTTGTATGCTTTCAACATCTGTCTGTCTTTTTGTCCGAACTAATGTAGTACACGTATACACATTATAGCAAGGTCTGTTATCTCCCGTGAACAGAATTGATGAAACGTAAAGATGCGAGGGTAATTATATTTTAATATCTTCTTGTGGGAAACAGGATGATTTGATTGAAGCAATCAGAAGTATTTTTGATAGCGTGTTTCCAGTCTTAATGTAATAATGAATTAGCTATCATGTGTTAGTAATCACTCACAGTCACTTATATTAATCGTCTAGGAAAGTGGAAATTGTAGAAGCGGTGTGCTGAACTGCAAAATGTCTGATTATTAGGGAAATACCTGACGTGTATTTGAGAGTGTTTATGCTTCATTACACGGTTAGCATTTTTGTTTGAAACAGGAAAATTGCCGTCTGGGGATTGGCTTCAATTTTGTATTTGTCTGCTGTATATTTGTAGGTGATGTTCTGAACAGTTGTTTTCGGGGGCAGGGGTTTAAACTTATTTGTCAGCCCTTGATTTTCTAACCAACAATAAGGCCTTGGGGTCATTCTAGGAAAAGAGGGTACGTGTATTTGGGAAAATGTTAGCAATACCGAGAAAGGTTTGGGAAATTTCAGACGTATTCTTGGAAGAACAACTCTTGGTTTTGACCCAAATCTTTGCCTGAAATGACTGGTATGGGGTATGCGAAGTCAGACCACATCTGACCCGAGTGGAAATGCAGCAAAATGTTAATTTTGCATTGCTACGTAAAGTTTTTATTTGGGGACTATGGGAAAATTCACTTCTGAATGTGTTTACAGCATTTTCTTGGTAGTTTGATTTAGGAATATAAATTCAGTTTTTGTGATTGAATGTGTTGAGATTTAACGAAATATTTCACATTCTTAATTTGTAATTAATTAATTGGGTCATGTCATTGTAAGATGCTTTTACTCCAAGTGCCATAACAAATGACAGTAGTTTTTATCTTTGTCTGTTGATGTGACCACCTATACCTCCTATGTTTTCTGAATGGTTTGGTGTTTTAATGGACTTTGTAGTAACTCATTTTACCACGGCATGCTGATGGACGAGTTGGGTGGACGCTGTGGGCTTTACGGAGTAGGAATTGGCGTGTCCCCAGGGTTTGTCTGACTTGACTTTATATGGATGCCGTGGGCGGTACATCTTGTCTGCTTTGAGCCGATGTATTCTTAAAACAACTCAACAATTGGAGTTCGGCCAGACTAAAACTACAAAATCATGATTAGGTCGGGAAGGTGATCGATTAATGTGGTAAGGGTTTAGACTGCACGATACTGTTGATTGAACTTGTAGCGCTTTAAGTAGTCACATAGTGTCAGGATATAGAACGCAAATGGTTATGGGAATGTAGGGACATAAACTTGACAGCAAACCACTTTATCTGAGTCTACGATCTTAAAAAAATGAAAACGCTGGACGGTGTACACAAATGCAACCCCCGAGCTTACTCGGGGGTTGCATCTCAGAAGTTTTTGTGATTTTTTTTTTTTTGTAGAAAGCTACAGGTTCTGCGTGATTTTATTTTTTTTTAGGTTGGGTCAGATAATCGGAAACAGGTCAGTTTGTATGTTTGTTTTAGCGTTTGCACGGCCTCTTTTTTAAAGGAAATGTCAGTAGTGTGTCTAAAATTTGTATGAAATAATGGGTTGCTTGGATTTCATTGCTTTGTCTGTACTGTTTAGTATTTTCTTTGCTTTTAAAGTCGAGAGGTCGTTCCATCTGTCGATTGATTATTTGGCTTTCTTTGTTATTCGAAGCCCCCATTTTTATCGTGAACGGTATGGGCGTGCGACGGGCCCCACTGTTCGAACTTTTGAGGGGTAGCGTTAAGTCATACGAAATTGAGCTGCGGGAGCCAGCGACAGCCATGCTCAATCAAGGATACCTACGATCGTTCTCTGTTGTCGATCGGCGATGTCGTCATTTTAGCATATTTTGGCATCAGAGTTTTAGCGTGTGTACGTAAAGCCCGTGTTTGGGTCATGCAATCTTTTGAAATCTTGTGTCTCGTTGATTTCTAGTCAGTTACATTTAGTTCTAGCATTATGCAGCTTCAGCAGTAGTAAGTCTAGATTAATGGCAAGATTGCCGCCAGTGTTCATTTGGTTTTTGAGCTACGAAGGAAGATGTCATCAGAAACTTGGTGTAACTTCGAGCATTCTGTACATCTCAATGTTATGTTGCTGCCCAGTTTACATTGAAATTTGGGATTATATGGTCAACTTTAAAATGTAAATATTAATTTATGTTAGGCTCAATTTGATGCGGTTTAAATAAATTTTGTTTCGTACTCAGACTGTGCTGTTAATGGCAAGCTTAGAATTTCATTTTCATCTCTGATTTTTGTCACAGGTAGGCCTAACTGAGTTTAGTCTGTATTGCTGTTTAGGAATCGACTCAGTGATACATCACGGTACGCAGACCGTGAACTGCCGTTCACTTGTTTAATTAAATGCCCAATTTTGTACTCCTTTTCTGTATGGTTTGGTGTATCCGTTCTTGGTTTGATCATGCAACCGTAGCACGTCGGAATTGGACACGTGTCTGTAAAGTACCTACAGTGCTTTGGGCTGTATTTTCCCCCTATTTTGGGGCGTAACGTTGATTGAAATAAAGAAATCCACGAGAAATAACCGAATATTTACCAATTTCTTTTGTGGCCATATGGTTTCTCGAGAATTATAGTATTTCTTACTGCGCTCGCTCTTCACTTGTACGTACGATTACGACTTTAGGTTGGCGCTATGAGATTGACTTTATATGTTCAGTCTGACCACTCGGTTTTTTCGAGATCACCGTGCGATTTTTTTTGAAGATTTTTCAAGCCTGTGTAAATCATTACACAACCTTTTGTAATTGTTTTTTTTTCGAATACGTGCATTCCACCTACTGACAATCGTCTCTAAACGTCATTGTTCATTTATTGTTATGCAGGTTTGTTTGTTTATATATATATTTTTTTAAATTAAACTTAAACAAAAAATCTGTTCGCTGGTGGAAAAGTGTAACAAAATTTAGCATGATTTGCACTGACTGGCAAGTGCCAAGCCTTTGCTTACACAGGGAGTGTGACTAAAGTATGGCATCCAGTCATATTTAAGCTTAAGAAATTCAAAATAAAAAAGTCACCGCATACGTATTGGACAGAAGTTATTCTACATGAAATTCATATTTTCGTTTGTTGAAATTTTTCAAGATTTGCGGATTTTTCGGATTTTTTTTTTTGAGATGGATCTCGATCTCAAGACCTCGAAAAAAATTTCAATGCTGCTTTTACGGTAGACCGTTGGGCCTCGGCTGGAAATTCGACTCGACTCTATACATGTAATAATATTGGAAGTGGTGGCATCCTCAAGACTCAAGTGTAATTACAAGCCGCAGCCAAGTACAGTATTACTCGGATACGGCTTCAATGCAATGTGTGTGTATGCGCTGTCGTGGTCGTGTTTTTCCTAGAAGTGGCTGCCAAAACTGCAGTTGGACGTCAGTACAAAAGTAAAAAAAAATACTTCACAAAGTGTGAAAAATTCCACCTAGCCATCCAAACAGCGGATAAATAGCACTCGCAGGGCTCACTATTAAAATGAAACTACAACCCTGTTTAAACTTAATGGGACAAATGTCCATTTCGAACGGATTTGAGGTAAATTCGAAAACTTGCCAAGAGGTGATATTTCTGCGAAGTGTGGCCGAACGTACAAGTCGTAGGCAAACTGAGAGTGGTTTATAGTATACACGTGTCTAGCCGTAACATGACAGCACCCACCATTTCCGAGCAAAACATTCAGTTATTATGTTCAAATTTTCTTTGTGCTGAAAATTTGGCTTTTGTGTATATAAGATCTTATACTACCAATAAAAATTCTAATGTCTCCATCAGGTGCTCTGTAACACAAAAGTGCCGCCATCTTGTGGTTCTTGTTGGACCTCAATTCTGTTATCAAAATCTCATCATCTGGCTCCAAGTCAGCAAGGCGCAAGGAAAGAATAGAATCTTAAACTGCACAAAGTAGACTCCCACCTCTAGACTTACTACCGTTGCTTCTGTCCTTGCGATATTGAATGTTGCCAGGAACTGCGAATTCAGCATCTCCAATGGAGTTTTGTAACCATGTTTCGGTTACGCAAACACAGTCGTGACTGTTGTTGGATAAAATTGCTTCATAGTCCCGAAGTTTGTTGTTTCTCTTCTTTCTTGCTGATTTGATACTACGTACATTCAGGTAAAGGAAATTTAGACCGTTTACTTTCCCATTAGTTGTAGTTGTGACAGGATCTGCTGCATCACCACCAACACCAGTGGTTGAAGCGAAAACTCCATCATCACCATTATCAGACTGTCCGTCGATGCTCACTTGTGGTAGAGATGCAAATGGGCACGGAGGGAAAATGCATGGGAAAGGTTGACCCGTTTGTTGAAAATCAGTGTAATTCTCCACTGAGAAGCCAGCACAATCAATATGAGTCCATTGTTTACACCAGTCGCAATCAATGGCTTTGCTGTTCCATTGAACACCGTTTTCATAAACAGTACATGGATGTTTGGATGATCTCTTGACGGGGCCAGGGCACGGGTGGATGTCACCGCAGAGCAACAGGGCCAACGAATAAAGCAGACTCGTGCGTACATTTGGCAAATCACGACACCCTGTTGGTCGTACAGGTATGTAACGCGCGCTTTTCACCTGTCCAGGAGCACTGGTCGTCGAATTACGCGATAATGTTACGTTTCATTCCACAAACAGGAAAATAGAATGTAATTACAGTAATTGGCAGGCTTGTTTCCTAGCCTAAAAACGTGCCAATCGAATGTAAGAATAGAGGACCACCTCAACTGTTGTCAAGGTGTTTACAACCCGATGAAAGGTTGTCTCTCAGTCCTCTGCCCACTTAGGACAAATTAAGACAAGGACTTTCGGCTTCCGCGTGTAGTGTAAGACTTAGTCGAAAGCCCGAATTAGAAGTTATTGGGTCGATGATGTAAGGGCAAAACTTGTCATTTAAAATTTACTTTAATACCCACAAATTGTGGAAGGCAAAGTAAAGATTGTTGCCGGTAGCCACCAGAGGGCTTGAACATTACCACTCTCGTCAGGGCCGATGGCAGGATCTACCGGCACTCAGCTGGTCTGCATCTGGCCCAAGCTTTCGAAGAAGTGTACCATGACAACAGTGAGCCCGAGGACGGCTCACAAGCCCGCTTGTATCGTGCCATGGGGAGCAATGACCTCCTCCTTGACAGGAAACTTGCTTTTCCATGCGATTCTCCGCAGTCATTTCGCATCAAAGACAAAGGTTTTGATGAACGAGCAAAGAAGTTGGCTAGGAGTGGGATAGGCCTACTCATTCAAACGTAGACATTGTCATTTCCTAACTATTATTGAAAACTGTTTTAAACTTTAATGCTGTGTGGTGGAAGTAAAGTCTGACATTTTGAATTGCAATTCAAAAACCATTTTCCCATAGGAAAGTACATGGTGTATCCTCAGACGGCCCTGTAATAAAGAAAAAACGTAGCTTGGGGAATCCTTGTGTTGATGATAGGCCCTAAGTCCGCGCAAGTCCACAAAAAAATGAACAGCGCCCCCTTCCAAACTGAACTTTTGGCGTTCACCGGTCTCGTTCCGTCGATCGGCATCACATTATTCACTCGTTTCCAAAGTGGGCAGGGGGAAGAGCGATTTACATTTTTTTTCTGAAGGGATTTGTTGAGCGAATCCTGCTGCCATTTAATTAATCAGTGCCATTTCAGCGCGATAGTCCCATCCTATTCTTGAAACAATTCTATCCAATGATAGCTGCAAAAATGACGGTGTTCATCTGTAGAAATTAACCTATCCCAGCGCCCTCTTGGTGGTGGAAACTATGAACGCTCAGCCGCCCATAAATAGATGTTCATTTACGTGACTGGTCGACTACGCTGAAAGTTTCATTTCTGCGGTTTGTGTAGGGATCAGTGGTCACCCCGCACCCAAGATGAGACGCCTAAGATACCTCTTCGTGCTATTGCTCATATTCATCTCCCAGGTTGTCGTCTTTATCGGTCTAAGCGGCGTTAATGAAGATGGTGGGGATTTCGATCGGAAACCACTAGGGGACCCTGGAAACCGCAGAAATTCGGAACTGTTGTTCGGCGCTGAGGCTGTCTTCGATGTGGGTGCCCGTGGGAAGAAAGATGCTGCGCCGTCCAGCGACGAGCCCCTTGTGGGCCACGCAAGAGAAACTCCCAAAAGGAGCCAGGGTTTTCATACCAAAACATTAGAAGAACTTTTTGCCAGTAGTACTGAGAACAAAAACGAACTGAGCGATGATGAAGGTAAGTACTTTCATTGGGGATTGAGGCTATACTTGGGGACCCCCCTTTTTGTCACTTTATTTTAATTTTGCAAAACTGATAAGAACTCCCACCCTCCCAAAAAATAAGAACCAAAGGCAACACTCTCTTTATTACCTGACCCTATTTTTTGGTAATTTGAAAATAAAGTGAGAAAAGGCGACTTTCTTACTGATAAACCAGCCATGCAAATATGAATCCAGCATGGGTCATTTGTTAAAACATTCACAGTTTCCCCTCATAATTTCCCTCAGAACTTAAAACCTTGCCCTTTTATGACAACTTCAATCCTACAGTTATTGAGCATGTTACAGTCATCTACCTAGTGAATTCAAAAGTTAGAATGCATTCTATTATAGAAACAGGGTGACCAAATTTACAATCCCCTTTCATTTTGAGGTAATCTTCATTTACGACCCCAGTTCCAAAATTGGAAAGAATATTACACCCCCTGAAATCACTCTTTAATCTCAATTCTCCAGCTTTGTAATAGGAAGACTTCCCCAAGCTGCAAAGATAACCTTAGACTGAAACACACCTTATAAGAACTTAAAGAATAACAACAAACTGGGATAGTCCTAAAAGTAAGCTGTAAGACTCATTTTGTTCAGTTGCTGTACAATTTAACTGTGGCAATATTAGAAAGTATAGATTGATTGGCTTTAATGTTGTATTTTGTTGGGTTACACGTTATCCTCCCAGGTATTTGCAGGTTGCACAAAAAAATGAAAGCCATATAAATTAATGTCTAGCCAGGGCTGAGTCAGTTTGAATAATTTACTAGTCAAATATTTTACCTTCAATTTGATCGAATATCCGAATATTCGGTTGTATTGACCGGCAGATTGTTGATGAACAAATCATATACAAAATCACTTGCAATAACACATACAATAGTACATTATGATCATCATAATAGCTTCTCACATCTAGGAGTATCTCCAGCCACGATTTAGCAAGATTTAAGAGATGAACAAGACTTACAGCCCTGTTGATAATTTTTATTCCTTTTAAATTGTTAAATGAATAATAAACTTTTTAAATCGTTGTAAGATTTCTGATGCTTTTCATTTGAATCTGCTTGAAACAAGCCTCCATAGTGCAATTTTTTCCTTTAAAACAAATGAAAATTTTCCCTTCCTGTTCATGAATTTTGCATTTGAATATTCAAATTCAAAAAATAATTCAGATATTCGACACAGCCCTATGTCTAGCATTTTTCAGTGAGTGACTTTTTCTTTAAAAATGTAACACAAATTCACACACTGTGTTAAACATTTTAAGTCTGCTGACTCATTGAAGCTGGTGATGGTCAAATACAGAACTCAGAAAAGCAGTATTTAGAATAAAGTTGTTTCAGTTGGAAGCCAGAGGTAATTTGAGTCTGGATAAATATTTGGATTTGAGATTTTGAGGTTAGCACTTTCATTTGCCAACATGGGCTGTGAAGGACTGTCTCGCCACTACTCATCACATTACAACAAATCAAGTCATTGGGTGGATATTGCCAGGACATTCCCGGTGCACATGCCTACAGTCCTGGGTTTAGCTGTGTGTTTATTGATTGATTTTCAAGTGATCAAGAAGAGCATGGTTTTGTTTGCAAACACCAATTGATATTTGCTGAAAAAAACTTTTTAATTAAAGTTGAAAATGCTTCAAGCCTCTGAAATGTTTGTGAAAGGCCTGTATGAAAGCAAAAAGACTTTAAATGTTTCTTAGCAACAAGAGAATAATGTCAGTAATTCTGCTGAAACCAGCAGGATCTTTGCAGAAATGGATCCCCTGTCCAATTGCCTCTACAGAGAGTTCCCTTCTCCTAGGCAAGGATCCAGGAAAATGACACTTACTATAGTCTAGGTAGCTAATAAATCATGGGTTCTATCCAAAGTTGGAATCATACATTCAACACAAGCATGGGGTTATTAGTGTTTGTTTAACCTTCTAGAGCCACTAGTCCAATGGATAAGTTTATGGACTGAACTACAGGGACAATCTGCTGGAGCTTCTGTTCCAGATAAGAGGTGTTGATAAAAGTGCTTAGTACTTGTACATATGCACCTACTTCTTGTGTTGATCGGGATCAAGGGACTGTATGGCAACTTGCTCAAGGTTTGCCAAATGCCTGTTTTTAAATGGCTGACTATCACAAAGTATTAGGTTGTGCCTTAGTATTGTTGAATACATGTATAAAACTGAACCATTAGAAGGTCCAAACCATGAAGTTTTATTGTATATTTGGGCCTCGTCTATTATATTCCTCTTCTATGTTTGAAACCAGGTATTTCACAGTCCTGTTGGGTAAGGTGTCTTGAAAGAGCAGTTGTTGAAATAGGCCTGTGTGTGCTTTTAGGGACAACTGCTGGCACTGTTGGTGTGATGTCAATGAGCAAAGACACTGGTCAAGTTTAAACTTGTGAACTGAAACCAAAATTTGTTTACAGAAAACGTTTCTGAGAAAGGATTGCTCATCAATTTCTGTTCACTACATAAAATTAACCACCAAAGAAAAGGAAGTTAAGCCAACAAAGTTTTAAAGACTCAAGCTTTTTTTTGTTCAAATCAAAATAAGATGAAGGCTTTTATTCTGGAATGACATCACAGTTTTGCTGACGAGTATGAAAGTATTCGGCATTGAAAAGGCACCAAACATAGCAAAACAGAAACTGAAAACTTTTAAATCTGTGCCAGTCATTCCTAGAGAAACTTGAGATTAAAGTTTTAAACTTGTCCCCCCCTTTTGAACAGAATAAAAAGAATCTACACCTCAAGCAATGGGAAGGTGTGTACATGTATGTATATACATACATATATATCTTTTTCCCCTCCCCAAATCTTAAGAGCTCCCCCCATCACAATACGAAGTGAGTAAAAAGTGACTTGAATTCTGCAATCTAACAAACTAAACAAGTACATGTACAATGGTGATGACCAATATCCCTCTTGCTCCTCCCCTCCCTAGCTCCCTTTTTTCCTTGCCCATAACTGACTTCCCAGCCAGTACTTTTTGGGACTGTGTTTCTCTATGATTTCCCCATTTGTACTGCATCCTTTGACCCTCAGTCCCTGGTATCCATTTTGGTCCCTCAGGGCCAGATAAGTGGTTGTGGTTTCTGACCAATTTTCCCAGGGCAGATAAGGATAAATGTACTGTCTCTTTTCCTGGGCCCTCATATTAAAGTCAGGCTCTTGCAGGCTTCACACTGTGCATTGGATGATTATAGGCTACCATGGCTACTGTTTATTTGGATGTTTATATAATAGGTCATTTGAGGTCTGTCCTCAGGAGGACAGAGACTGATGGGATAGAGATTCAAGGTTTTGATCATTCCATGGAGCAAGGAACAGATTTCTTGGTAAAGAGAAATATTTGTTTCCTCTATGCAATGCTTGCAGTGAATTGTGACCAAAAATAAAAACTTGAAGAGGTTTTTTCTGTTGAAATATTTTTGCATTCCACATTTGGTTCATTTTCATATTGACTGGCCAGCAGTGTCATGTCAAATGTTTTGCGCAGTGCGAGATAACACTGATCTGGATGGTATGAACATTTAAAAGTGTACACTGTTTAAATTTTATTTTTTACTTGGTTTGTCAAGATACTGAAGCCATTAATACACTGAATTTTCGAATATGAAAACAAAACAAAACATAAGGAATGCATTTCCAAGCACAATTTGGGTTTGCATGAAGTAATGATGTTCATAGAAAACTACTGGCCATGAAATGCTGCTTTTCAATGGAAGTACATGTCGACAGTAGACCATTTGTTGTGGGGGCTCATGCAACATGTCTTTTATCTCTCCCATGTTTCTTTACCAGAAACGACAGGGAGGACAGTGTACCTCTTCCCCAATTTTTTCCTGAGGGAGGTACATTTTCCTTTTGAGCTAATTTCTTCTTTTGTCAACTGGTCATTTAATAACTTTACAAACAGAAATCCTCACTACAAAAATGAGCGGCTTATATTCAGGCTCTTCTTCATTTGGAGCTCCCCTGCTTTTTCTAATTCTAGGGGTTCCAACTTCACATTCAACATCACACAATCAGGCACGGGAGTCGTACCTGGACTGACTTAAGGGGCAGTGCCACCAGCTTCTTTCAGGTTTACCTTTCCAGGCTCCAACTCACCCTTCACTGCAGCCCATTACCAGGGTGGATTTTCTGACAAAGGAGAAGCCTAATTGCCGAGACCACATTGTGAGGCTCAAAGCCCCTATTGTGCCTGGTGGCACCTGAAGATTGAAAGGTCACTCCTGCTCATTTAGGATCAGATTGGATTGTTGTGCTGTCCTCATTTAAAGCAGTTCCACTTGTAGCTCAGGGACAGAAGGGGTTTTTGACTCTGTGTTCCGAAAGGACCAGAGGTGCAGTGAGCCAAAGTGCTGAAAAGAGCTGATCGTGGGTACGCGGTCATTATGACCATTAACCCAAATAGAAACGGACTATTTCAGACCACCTCAGGGGGGTAACAATTGTCAATGATTTGTCTTGGATAAGAGGTGTTGTTTTCATTACATCGGTGTCAAATGATAAGATGCGAGTATGAGGCTACTCTGAAAGTTCGGCATGAACAGAGAATGCGTTTTGAAGATATCAAGAGAAAATGTCAAAAGTCAGGGATTCAGTCCATTCCCCTTCTTTTGGAGACAGAGATCATGGGCTGGGCTTATTCCAGTCTGACTTGCATTCAGGCTAGTCCCACAGACCCTAGTCCTTCTGACATATTTGTAGTACAGAGGGATTTTATAGAATAAGCTCCCTGGAACTGATTGTATATCATAATCTTTTAATGTAACACTGAGAAACAACTTGAGATCTATAGTTGAGTGGAGGAGATTCCGGCTGATATTTGAGCATGCTTTCCCCCAGTGGTATATTTAAGCCGAGGTGTAAAGGCCATGGGCATTGCTAGACCATTTTGATGGGGGGGTTGCCAACAGACCTTCACACAAAACAAGTGTAGGCCTACTGAAGTCTGA